ATACTAAGAGTGCAGCGATAGTCCTATACACAGAGCCAGTACAGTGGTAAAGGTAAAGGTACCCCTGCCCGTACGGGCCAGTCTTGACAGACTCTAGGGTTGTGCGCCCATCTCACTTAAGAGGTCGGGGGCCAGTGCTGTCCGAAGACACTTCCGGGTCACGTGGCCAGCGTGACAAAGCTGCTCCGGCGAACCGGCACCAGAGCAGCACACGGAACGCCATTTACCTTCCCACTAGTAAGCGGTCCCTATTTATCTACTTGCACCCGGGGGTGCTTTCGAACTGCTAGGTTGGCAGGCGCTGGGAACGAGCAACGGGAGTGCACCCCGCTGCGGGGATTTGAACCGCCGACCTTTCAATCGGCAAGCCCTAGGCACTGAGGCTTTTACCCACAGCGCCACCCGCGTCCCTCTAGTACAGTGGTACCTTGGGTTAATAACTTAATTCGTTCCGGAGGTCCATTCTTAACCTGAAACTGTTCTTAACCTGAGGTACCGCTTTGGCTAATGGGGCCTCCCACTGCTGCTGCCGTGAGATTTCTGTTCTCATCCTGAAGCAAAGTTCTTAACTCGAGGTACTATTTCTGGGTTAGCAGAGTCTGTAATCTGAAGTGTCTGTAATCCGAGGTACCACTGTATTCGGCAATTTCTAGCCAAGGTATTTCCGCACCACAGGGCTGAAAACTAGTACAATGAGACAGAATTCTAGGAGGGAGTTGATGCTGAGCAGACAGGAGTATAACCAGAGGTTGGCAACCTAAGGCTTATGGGCCGGAAGCGACTGCGGAGGGTCGTTTAACTGGCCCATGAACCACCCCTGAACCACCCGCCCGCTTAGCAAGTCCCCACAATAATAAGCGGCTCCAGAAATCGCTTCTGCAAATGCCGGAAATCACATCTGCGCATGTCCGCGGTGCCGGAAATCATGTCTAGCGCATGCCGAGACACTGAAAATTGCTTCTGCGCAGGCGCGATTTCCGGCACCGCGGACATGCACAGACACAATTTCTGGCGCCACACTGCACCGGCCCAGCCCACGGAGAATCTCTGCGGGAGTGATCCGGCCCATGCCTGGTAAGCCTTGCCGACCCCTGAGTATAACTCTCAACGCAATACATGCCACAAATGCTGGTCTTCTCTTGTCACTCGCTCAGTTTTATTCGGGAGCAGGGCTGGCACCAGCAGCCAACTGCAGACACCCTCAGTGGATGCCAGGTGATGAGTCCCCCCACAGCTTGTGCCCGGCTGTGTGCACCACCCCCCATTTTGAAATGTCCCCCCTTGTGCCAGAGCCCAACTTAGCACTGCTGGAGTTTTAGGATGGTGGGCAGGGGCCCCCAATATTGGCAAGGCCCCCCCTAAGCCCTGGTCCTGGCAGTGCCTTTTTCTGTGCCTCCAAATCTGCTGCGTAAGCAAGGGCGCCCGTCTTTGGCATGCAGAGCTACAGCGCCTGCAGGAAATTCCACGTTGCCTTGCAGCTAAACCCTTGGAATGAGCCTGCCCTTTGGAAGATGACGCCTTCCCCAGCGTCGCCCCGAGCCATTTATCCACCTCAATGAGAACAGTCGCTCTTGAGTGCTTGACCTTTCAATAACATGTAAATAAAACTTTGCAATCAAACCTTCATTTTGTTTCGTTTCAAGGGGTGCTGGTGCGGATTTGATCTGTTCAACTGATCCACTTTGCGTGGTGAAGGAGTTCAGTCTTGGTTAAGCAGCTGAACTGGATCTGGGTGCAGCTTACTTGAAATGGTCTTTCACCCCCCCCCCTTTTTATCAGCAAGTTGGTTTTATTGCAACTGCAAGCATCAAAAGTGCTGTCTGCAAAAGTAAAAGGAGAAAGGGTTTTAGTTAATGTTTAATAGGCCTTTCATTAAGTAACTGGCTTGTGCCTTCCTAATTTCATTTCCTGTTCTGTTGAACTGAATGGGTACTGGGAAAGGGGGCATGCTCTTCTTTATTACGCCCCTCTGGTTGTTTTTAGTGGGATTTTGCTGAGAGGTAGGGTCCGTTTTGAGGAAATAAGAGTCAGGCTCATCATTGGCCCATTTAGCCCAGTGTTGCGTGCACTGACTGGCAGCAGTGGCACTGCACACTTTTAGGCAGGATATTCCCAACCCCACCAGGAGGTTCTGGCGATTGGGCTTGAGACCTTCTGCACCCACAGCAGGTGCTTTGCCTCTTGACTAGCCCCTTCATTGGGGTCCTGTCTGTGTTGGAAGTGCTTAACGACCCTGACCACCCCTTTCCCAGGGAGCGATAAGAGGGAGATCTGCAGAGTTTTCAATTGTCTTTCGTTCGGAAGGCCCCAGGTTCAGTTCTCCAGGTAGGACTGGGAATGTCCCCAGTGTGGAATTCTGGGGAGCTGCTGCCAGTCTGTGTAGGCAGCACTGAGTTAGATGAGCAAATGATCTGACTCTGTATAACAAGGCGGCTTTCTACATTCCTCTCCATCTAGCTCAGTGTTTCCCAAGCTTGGGACTCCAGCTCTTTTCGGACTACATGCCGAAGAAGGCAGACGGAGCCTGTCAGGCTCCATCGCAGGGCACCCTCCACCTTGGGGAGTCGTGGGCTCGCTTAGCTGGGTGGGGGGAGGAGCCTTCCTAACCCCCAGCTGAGCAGCGGGCCAGGGCCAACTGCATTGGACTTGGCCTGCGAGGCACAGGGGTGAAAGCTTCACCTGGCACCTTACAGGCTGGGGCCAATGCAACTTGTTTTAACATTGTGGTATATTGCCAAACCACAATGTTGGGCTGGCGATACACTGCAATCTTGAAAGCCCATTCACGGCCAAGTGGGGATTCAATTCCTGGCCTCCCACGTCCTGGTCCAGCCCTCCAACTGCCACACTGCCTCCTTGCATGAGGTGTATTGGGGATGCTGATGTAACGGGATGGCACAGTTCCTTCTGCTTGCAAACCCACTTCCCAAAGATCTAAGGTACCTTTGAAGCAGAGATGGGGAGCCTGAGGCCCTCTGGATATTGCTGGACTCCAGCTCCCATTAGGATCACACTGACTGAGGCTGATGGGGAATCCAAGAACATCTGGGCAGCCACATCTTCCCCATCCCTCCTTCACGTGGAGAAACTCTTTCAATGAGCAATGAATAGGGGGCTTTGGATAAAAAAGTCTCCTAAAGTCATTGGACACGTCTTCCTATTCATTTAGCTATTTATTCATTTATTCATGTGGTCATGGCCTCTCTGGGAGCGAAGTTGTCCTGGAGGGGCTGCTTCACCAGCTGCTCCAAAGGAACAGATGGTGGGTGCCGTGTGGGATTAGGGCTAAGTTGGAATGGGGTCAGAGGTGCTGGCCAAGGAAAGGGGGAAAGCGGCTTAGAGTGGATCCACGGGGGCTTTCTGGGGATTTTTGAGGGGTGGCGGGTGAGGAGGACATTTGTGTCCTATTTGGCGTTTCGGAAAAGCGTGGCCGTCTTCCATAATCCATATTCATCTACAGTAGCCGCTCAAAATCCACTTTGATGGAGGAACGGGCTCAAGGCTTGCCCTGGCCTTTGTGTTGGCCGTTGCCATCAAACTACAGCTGTAGCTACAAACAATTACGAAGGGCAGCGTCTGTGGGGGTAGTTGGCGCATGAACGCAGCTGAATTATTTTTAATTACATTTGTATAGCATCCTCCATCTGAAGATCACAGGGCAGTTCACAACATCCCCCAATATCTGAAAGGCTACCCTCTTTCAGTCCCACTCAGGTGTTCAGATCCCTCTTGGTTGCTCCACCTCTCTCTGAATCGGGGGCGGACAGGAGAGGGCCTTTTCTGTGGTGGCCCCTAAGCTGTGGCTCTCCCCACAGAGGTGCACCTCACATCTTCATGATAGAGCTTTTAGTGAGGGATGAAGACACACCTCTTTACTGTGGCTTTTGTCACCTGATCTGTATATTTCCAGTACCCACCTTATTTTTGTGATTGCGGGTTGTTTTAACCTGCTTTTGACATTGCATTTTATCTGGGATCTAAGGGTGTAGGGTGGGTAATTAATAATAATGATAGCTGTCATTCTGACGCTGCCCTCCCATCACAAGAGCTGACATGGGCCCAGGCTTTTCAATGGAGCGGCGGCCTGGGCAGCAGCTGTCAGGTGACGCAGCCCAGATCCCACCCCTCCATTAGGTGAGTTCTGCCTCCTCCTATGAGCTCCTCTGGGGAGCTTTCCAGCTGCACAAAAATAGAGACAGAATTCCTCTTTGTGTGTGGCTTTCCCCAGGTTGGCTGACCTGGAGGACGTTTCGACCTTATTTTCCCAGATGCTTTAGATGCGAAATTTTAATCTTCAACTTTGTGCTTCTGTCCTGCCACTGCTGCTGCTTTTTAATCGGCTGCTTTTGGATTTGATTGTGCTGCTACATTGTTTGTGAGTTGTCCTGGGACAGCTTTTTTGGGCGCAGGAGAGGGAGAAGGCAGGATGTAAACACTTTAAATGAACTCTACAGTGCCCCTCCCCTCCGCCATTAAGCTGCTTTAGGGTTCTTTGCGGCTGGCTCTGTTTCTAAATTTATTGCTTTTTTTAAAAGTGGGGTGCACTGTTTTGTCTTTGTTTTTTCACACTGCTTTAACACTTTAATTCATAATGCTTCTTAATAATGCTTGGTCCTAAATGGCAGGTTAATATTAAATAAATAAGATGCGTTAAGCGACGTTACCCACCGAAATATGCATGTGGTCAGCGCTATAGTTAGCTCTGTGTTGTGTTGCATGCCTGGGAGGGTCATCATTCACAGGTAAAGCACTGCTTTGCAAGCAGAAAGTCACAGGTTCAGTAAGCCAATAATGTCAGTGTAGGGACAATACACTCAATGGTCTTAGCGCATGGCACCTTCCAAGGCCTTTCCAGGCGATTTAATGTGGAACTTTCCCCTTCCTGTGGAAGAAACTACATAACCTGCACTTTCAGCTGCACGTGGATGTTCTGTTTGCGTATTGTCCTATGTTTTAATTTCCTGCCACTTAATGGCATCCTTTTTGCTTATCTGTTGTAGGAAACTCACAAAGTCTACAAACAGAAGCTAGAGGAACTGAACAACTTGCAGGCCACCTGCAGCAGCTCCATACAGAAGCAGAAGCGGGGGCTGAAAGACTTGCAGAATAGCTTCCAAAGGTAATGGCAAAGCCCAGCACTTGGTCACCTGTACGATTCTCTGCTTGGACTGGGAGCTGCCTGACCTGCTGCTTTGCCAGGTGGACGCAAGAATCCACCCGTCCCTCGCCAGTATTACTGTGGCTGTCAGGCAATCACCGTGCGGCTGTTTGTTGTTTTTTTTACTTTATTAGCTAGCCCCAGTCCCAGGCCAATTTTAGTACAACATTCAAAACAGTTTAAAATCAATTACAAATCCTGCCAGGTCCCAGGCCATTCTTAGTACAACACTCAAAAACAGTTTTAAAATCAATTTACAATCTCAAAAATAGGATTGGGCCCTAAAAACATTCATCCCAGATGTCCAGGGCCAGTGTAGGTGTCATGTTTAGAGCACCACTTTTTCAATGTTGCATCCCAGATGTTGTCGAACTACAACTCCCACCATCTCTAGCTAGCAGGGCCTAGTGCTCAGGGACGATGGGAGCTGTAGTCCCACAACACCCAGGGAACCCAAGGTTGAGGAAGGCTGGGTTAGAGTGCCGGATTAGGGCCTGGGAGACCCGAACTCCAGTTCCCGCTCGGACACGAAGCTGCCAGTAACCTTGGGCCAGTCACCAACCCTCAACCTAAGCTACCTCACAGGGTTGTTGTGGGGCTCGATTGAGGTGGGGGAGAGTTGTGTACGCTGCCTTGAGCTCCTTGGAGGAAAGGTGGAATATAAATGCATTAAAAATTAACAACAACAACAACAACAATTTTTTATACCCCGCCCATCTGGCTGGGCTTCTCCAGCCACTCTGGGGGCTTCCAAAAAATATTAAAATACAGTAATGCATCAAAAATTAAAAGCTTCCCTGAACAGGGCTGCCTTCAGATGTCTTCTAAAAGTCTGGTAGTTCTTGTTCTCTTTGACATCTGGTGGGAGGGCGTTCCACAGGGTGGAGCGCCACTACCGAGAAGGCCCTCTGCCTGGTTCCCTGTAACTTGGCTTCTCTCAGCGAGGGAACCGCCAGAAAGCCCTTGGTACTAGACCTCAGTGTTCCAGGCAGAACGATGGAGGTGGAGATGCTCCTTCAGATATACTGGACCGAGGCCGTTTAGGGCTTTAAAGGTCAGCACCAACACTTTGAATGGCCAGGGTAAAGGGGTGCATCTTCAGAGTCCCACGAAACCTGCATAGTGAGGGTTCCTTGGGGTGCTGGGCATAATGCACTGCTGTGTGGAGGGTGCTCCACAATTTAGGGGCTGACACAGAGAATGTCATCCATAGCGTTCCTCCCCCGAGCCCCTGAGGGCAGTGGGGATACCGGGAGGCCCCCTCTGCTGCTCTTCACACCCAAGAGGGGAAGGGGCCAGTTTTTCAGCTATCTGGCTCCTGGGTCATCTGTTTTCAACTATCTGTATTTGTGTTCCTCTTCTCTGCCCCTGCAACTTTGCAGATGCAAGCGTGACTGCAGCCTGGAAGAAGCGGAGCTCATACAGCAAATCGGTAGCCAGATCAAAGAGCGGCAAAATGTTTTCTTCGACATGGAAGCCTATTTGCCAAAGAAGAACGGGTAGGTGCTTCTGTAAACCGACATGCCCTCTTGTGTGAAGCCTGGTCTCTTAAGGACACGAAGGGACATGCTTTTCTTAAAGAGATGGAAGCATGTGACTCCTCTTGTTGGAATCCACTCTGCACACTCTCAGGGGCCGACCTGCCGGCCTCTTGGCACAGAGTGAAACGTTTGCCTGGGAATGCCTGGCTCAGAAGCTGAATGCAGGCCGCGTGTCACACTCACGCACATAGTTTCCAGCGTTAATCTTGGTGAGGTGATACCTCGGGAGAACAATCCTGGGAATCTATTATTAGCAGAGGAGGAGAAAGGTCCAGTGACAGAGAGGAGGGGGAGCCTTTTATTACCCCCGCCCTGAGCAGACGAGAAATTTAAATCTGGGCCAGGACTGCAGAGATTGGTTTGTTTTAGTTATTAAATTTACCGTATTTTTTGCTCTATAAAACTCACTTTTTCCCTCCTAAAAAGTAAGGGGAAATGTGTGTGCGTCTTATGGAGCGAATGCAGGCTGTGCAGCTATCCCAGAAGCCAGAACAGTGAGAGGGATTGCTGCTTTCACTGCGCAGTGATCCCTCTTGCTGTTCTGGCTTCTAAGATTCAGAATATATTTTTTCTTGTTTTCCTCCTCCAAAAACTAGGTGCGTCTTGTGGTCTGGTGCGTCTTATAGAGCGAAAAATACGGTATATACTGCCTTTTGCCAAAAGGGCCACAGGGCCACTCATAGCATGCAAAACGAATGCCACTGCGTAACATGATATCTGTGCAACATGAATTATAATCCGGCCACATCTGAATGGCTGCAGGTTAGCCACCTCTAAGAAAGATAAAACAAAATTCAACGGCAATGAAATCATAAGGCCAGCACATCAGCCCCAGCAGAAGCAGCAGTAAAACAGACTTAATTGAGGTCAAGAGCTGCTTACCTGTTATTTACACAAGGGACCCCCAGAAGTGACAGAATTTTGAATCAGGATTGCAAAGTTAAGTCTGTTAGGCTAACTGATGGACAGTGACATTTATAAACGTCTACTTGGAAGTAAGCCCCCTTGAGTTCAGTGGGGCTTACCTCCAGGTAAGTGTATAGGGTTGCTGCTGAGCTTGTGCTGACTACAGTTTGAGAAGGTCGCACGAAGAGGGATTTGTGACCTCTGCACGTTGTGGCAAAAGCAGAGGAAGCTGTCATCTGAACATCTGGCGATAAGATTCCGGTGGAGTCTTTCATTCAGCTCATGCCTTGCTACGAATGCAGCTGAAATGGGTGATCTGGGGCTGAAACGACAACCAACAAATGAAAAAAGAGTTACCCCTGTGATGGCCTGATGTGTTTTGCCCTTTTCCTTGCAGTTTGTACTTAAATCTCGTGCTGGGGAACGTGAATGTCACTCTTCTAAGCAATCAGGCCAAGTAAGTTGTTTGTCTTCTGTGACTCTCTGAGCTGCTTTGTGTGACACGGAGAGACAAATTATGGGCTCCTCCAGACTGGGTTTCTGTTTTGTTTTGCCGCTTTATTCTGCCACGTGTCACACCACGCAGTGACAGTGTTTGAGTGGTGCGTTTATACTGGGCCATCCACTTACCCTTCTGCAGTCTTTCCCCAATGCTCCTTCATTATTGCTGTCTTGCTGGGCTGGGGGGCTCTTGTGCTATAGTGCAACAACAACAAAATCCTCAGAACATTTGTGGTGTAAAAAGTTAGAGGATTTCAACAGGAAACTACAGGACATGCGCTGGGTGGAAATGAAGCAGTAAATCTGCCTCAAACCTTTGCAGGTGCAAAGAATATTGAACGCATAACTGGCCCAATGCCATCAGGAGCATCACAAGTGCATACCAGAAAGAATGTTGCCCTATGGCTCAGCAAGACCCTGTAAATGCGTTTGGGCTCCCAGATAGGAGCTCACAACTGCTTTGCTCCTCCTGGTCGGGGAGCTCTGGCCTGCAGGCCTGACTAGACCAGTCATCCATTTGGGGCAAGCCACCCCCATCTTTCCTGTATCTGATGTTGTGTGGTGTTGCTTGTGGAAAATTTCAAGTTGCAGCTTCAAAGGGAGAACCAGCAGCATGCTCTCGATTCTTCCTTTGCAGCCAAAATTCAGCACACATTGAATCTAGCCCCTGACTAGTGACAGAAAATGGTGTCCCCCACCAAAGATTCAAGCCCTGGTTTGGTTTGTTTAAGCCCTAGTTTGGCGAAGCCATAAGTTGTCCCATAGTTGATCAGACAAACCATGGTTTCCCCTCAGCTGCTGTTGCCTCCTGCGTTTGTAAACTGGTGAGAATCTGGTGTCATGGTTAAGAAGGGGAGAAGAGTTCTCATGCAGTGCTCAGCCCAATTTAAAGCAAACCAAGATTTGTAAGCCAACAACAAACTGTAGCACTAAATTGTGGCTTGTTAGCAACCACAGTTAAATTGCTGGGTAGAGTTTGAATATAATGTTAAGCCGTGCTATAAGAAAACATCACTTCATAATCCATGGTTTGGCATTATGTGTGAACCAGATCAATGGCCTTGGCCCAGTATACATGAAGGAGCGTCTCCACCCCCATTGTTCAACCCGGATACTGAGGTCCAGTTCTGAGGGCCTTCTGGCATTTTCCTCACTGTGAGAAGTGAAGTTACAGGGAACCAGGCAGAGGGCCTTCTCGACAGTGGCACCCGCCCGCCCTGTGGAATGCCTTCAGATGTCAAGGAGATAAGTAGCTGTACAACTTTCAGAAGAAATCTGCAAGCAGTCCTGCATTAGGAAGTTTTTAGTGCTTGATGTTTTACTATGTTTTTATATGTGTTGGAAGCCGCCCAGAATGGCTGGGGAAGCAGGCCAGACAGGTGGGGTATAAATAATAAAATTATTACTATTATTATTCCCTGATTTAATCCTTTTGTTCCAGGTTTGCCTACAAAGACGAGTATGAAAAATTCAAACTGTACTTGACAATAATCTTATTCCTTGGAGCAGTAGCTTGTCGATTCGTTCTTCATTACCGGTAAGACTTCATCTTTGTTTGCTGAGCAACATTATCCGTTTTTACCATGGAGTGGATTTGAAGTGGCTCTGCTTGCAAGCAAATCTGGACTCCACTTAATGTGAACAAAAAGCATCATTTGTTGACTGCTGCTTCCGCAAGTTAATCCAGTCTTGGGGCAGATTTTCCCCCCAATGACATACACAAAAGTTCTCTGTTGCTGGAGAGACATTTCCCCCTATAATACGTTGCAAATGTTCTAGGTGCACACTAGGTTCATATGTGACACTGGCCGGGCTTGTGAGATCTAGGAGCTGCCCGCTGCTCGTAAGGGGGACAGCCAGAGCTCCGTGATAGAGCCTGTGGAAGGTCACAGGTTCAATCCCTGACAGCTTCTCCAGTTAAAAGGATCAGAGAAAGGTGTTTGCTTGGGAGCTTAGAGAACTGTTTTCCAGCAAGAGTAGATAGATACCAGGGAAACGTTGTGCTGAGACCTGCAACAGAACATCACAGTGTAGAGTACTTCTGTGGAGAGCTTGTAAGCCTACAGTTCTGCACCCTTTTAACTTGAGTATGATCCCCATTGAACTCGCTGGGACTTAAGTTCTGAGCAGACGTGCCTAGGATTGCCCAGTCAGCCTGCTGTGTCCTCCAGGACTCTCCCTTTCCCATCCTGTCTGGTTTCCCACTGTTTCCCCCCTCCCCTTGTCGTTCAGTGTGTTGTGGCTGCTGACCATGCTTGGCTCTCATTGGGTTGTCTTCGTGGTTTCTACCTTAGAATTGTTCTTCCTCTTCTTCTAAAGCATTTCTGTAGTTGTTCTTACCTTGGGGTTCCCCTGAGTCTACAAATATCTCCCTCTTGTGCACAGGAGGTGCTGTTTTGATGTCACTCTCCCTCTGTTTCCAGTCTTCAGGGGGAATGAGCGGGCTAAAATAGTTCTTTAAAATTAGCTGCCAAGTGGGTAAATGGATGTGTTATCAAGCATCTTCCTCCTTTAACGTCAAGATTGGTGGTGTCAAAATGCCTTTTCCTGCAAGGCTGCTTTGCCCACCCGTTCTACCAGAAATCCTGGCAAAATGTTGAGGGTCCCCATATTCCCAGAAAGCCATTTGAAATTGATTGCCCCACAGTAAGGTTGTCAAAAGTTTGTATTTGCCTGTCTCGTCATGCAAACTTGGCCATTGTTGTGATGCTTTCCGCTGACTTCGAGGCTCAACGCCACCAGTATGGCTTTTCCAGTTGATTGGATTTATCAAGATCTAATGGAATCCTTTCGCTGAATTAGTCCTGAGGCGCCTCTGCAAATTGGATCATGTGCATCTCCTCTGGCCCAAAGGCCTTTCCCTCGGATGGAATTAGCGCTGCATTTGCAAACTTGCCTGCCTTCGTGGGAGCTTTGTGTCAGCGAGTTCCTAAGTGGAGTCCCTTAAGCTACGTGGCTCTGCCTTGCCCTCTTCCTTCAAACCTTGGTGAGGGGGGTGTACCAAAAGTGTGCCTCACACTCCTGGGAAGACCCTTAACACAGCGGGACAATTTTAGAGAGCAGATTTGGTTCAGCCATACTGGAAAACAGCACTGTGACGTCTCTTTGCTTGGGTATTGTTTACAGTGGGGATTCCCTTCGTTTGTGAAATTGGGCCCTTTCTGCTCTGTAAATTCAAAGCAGCACCCTACACTTTAAACAGGCATGGCGTTGTCTGGGAATCCTGGGAGTTAGTTTGTTTAGGTTGCTGAGACTTGTTAGGAGACCCCATTCCCCTTGCAGAGCTTCTTAGAGTGGTTTAACTTTAACAGACCAGCTCTCTTCCTGGGGAACATTGGGAATTGTAGCTCTGTGAGGAGAACAACTCTCAGCACCCTTAGCAAACTACGGGAGCTCACCCTGTCACGGGGATTTGAACCGCCGACCTTCTGATCGGCAAGTCCTAGGCTCTGTGGTTTAACCCACTGCGCCACCCGCATCCCTCCACATAAGCTTAGAAAGCAGCTGATTATTTACAAGATCAGAACCACAGTATTAGTTACCTAAAATTACTCTTTACTTTCGCCTTAGTTAATGAGTTTTGAAGTGTGTGTACTTGATCAATGAAGTTGGAAACTCTTACCATTTTTTATTATTCTTGCAGGGTGACGGATGAAGTGTTCAACTTCCTCTTAGTTTGGTATTACTGCACACTGACAATAAGGGAGAGCATCCTCATCAGCAATGGCTCAAGGTAGGCCGAGGGGATATATCCATAAATTGCCTAGGGCAGACGGCGATGACAGCGTCACTCAGGGGTATATCGCAGGTGAAACTGCCGCCTCCTGAGCCCCTCTGCTACAAGCGTCCAGCGCGCCAAAGAAGAAACAAGCTTCAGCCATTGCTGGAGGCAGAGGTGCTCAGGAACGGCGGCAGCTTCACCAGCGATATCCTGCTGGGTGAAACCACCATCTCTGTCTGCCGCTCATACCGGCAGAAGAACAGGCGCTGATACAGCTTGTTCCTCCCTCTGCTTCTTTAAACTGCCCAGTTGAGGAGTACGCCACTGCCCTCGCCTCAGCCAAGCAGTTTTATGGAGCCCCCACCTGCCACCGGCGCACATGTGCCGGGGGGGGGGGCCTCTGTGAAATTGCTTCGATGAGGGGTGCACGGTTGCGGCTGCCCTCAGCCGAGCAGTTAACAGAGCCCTGTTTATCAGTACAAAATGGTAGGATAGACAGTCTGAATCGATAGCTTAATTACATTTGTGCGCTCTTAATTATGCCCACTAGTTACAAACTTCCTATGTTTATTTTTCTGAGTACATCAGAAAAAGGAAAGAACAGAGAGGAGGAGTTAACTGCATATAGACTCCAAATTGTGTAATTAATAAAACCATACCAAACAGCATGAAAAATGTCAGGGAACAGATATTTTGTATACGTTATGCATTAGATTTAGGCGTCCACAAAATGTCTTGCTTTACCCCCGACTTTGGCCCTCTTCAGGCGTTCCAGCTTCATGCTAAAACTTAACATGCAAGGGGAGGGGACTAGGCTCAAGCGCCCTGGCTGGGCTGTGCAAAACCCTCTGGCTTCTGTTTCCATTTTCCTCCGCAAGTTGGAGGGCGAATGTCTGACACAGGGAGACTTCTGTGCCCATAGGGCCTTCCTGCGTGATTTAGAACCTTGCTTTTCCCGGGTCCCACACTGCAGGGAACTTCCATGGCTGCAGGAGAGTCTCCAGTTCCTGGAAGGCGGTCGGAATGGGGACGGGGATGTGGTGCTAGCTCTCATTCCCACATTTCCCCATTGTGAGTGAAGTTGATGCTAAGCTAGTACACCTCAAGGGGGCTTATAGGTTCATATGCAACACATTGGTTTGCTAGCCTGTGTCCCATACAGGCATCAATAGGAAGCTGTGATCTGCCAGCCACTCCCTTCTGGGTTTGCCTCGGTTGAATGTGTGAAAGTGCACACATTAAAGGTGTTCTTTTTCTTCTCAGGATTAAGGGCTGGTGGGTATCTCATCATTACGTTTCTACGTTTCTATCTGGTGTGATGTTAACGTGGTAAGTTTCTCCATTTCTCCATAGCTTAAATGTTTGAAATCAGCAGAGTGCTATAGTTTGAATATAGTTAGATGCACAATATAGAATAGGGTTGTAGGATAAATGAGTCCCCGTATTAAAAACGTGCGTTTAGACTTCCGAATGTCATGCAGTCCAGCCATCCCCGGACCACTGCACTTCAGAGGTTGCAGGGAGGGATCATGTCTGATCCTCCCATTTGAAGTAACTCTGTAATGAGTAAGTTAATGAGCCAGGATGCTGGGGTGGGTTAGCCCTCTTCTGCTAACTTTCCATGTATTCTGTCCCTCCCCCCCCCCAAAGACATGGGCTGCAGGCGACCTGCAGCCTGCTTCAGTCCAGTCCAGGGTAGACTGTGCTATAGGATACCTTCTGCCTTTGTGGAAATGAATGAAGGAAATTCCACCCTGCATTAGGCTGGCTTGGATGCGTTTGTTTAATTTCCTATATTGGGGTACAGAAGGGCACTCTGTGTGTGTGTGTGTGTGTGTGTTGAAAACATCACTTCTGTTTTCTTTTGTCTTCCTCCCCTCCCCACTCACACAGGCCAGATGGTCTCATGTACCAAATGTTCCGCAATCAGTTTTTAGCATTTTCAATTTTTCAGAGTAAGTATGCTTTCAGTATCTGTATTAAAACACAGCGTTTTCTTGTCTCCGTCCTATCTGGAGTAATGCTTTGAATGCTGCAAGCTGTGCAGCAGATTTCAGTACGGGGAGAGCAGTGCACATTTTACTGTAACCGGGACGGGTCACAAACTGGCCGCTTTAGGCAAGTTCCTACCAGTAAGCACTGACAGTGTCCCAGGAAAGAGAAGTTACATTTTAGGGATTTTATTGGCTTTGTAAGCCACCGTATGGCTCGGATAGAGCCTTTAGGACAAGGGCAAACTAAGGCCCGCGGGCCGGATCAGGCCCAATTGCCTTCTGGATCCGGCCTGCGGACGGTCCAGGAATCACTGCGTGGATCACCAGTGTGTGCGTTCTTTCCCTCTCCCTCACACGGCAGCAGCAGTGGCGCCTCCTCCCTCCCTCCCTCCTCCTGGCTTCTCCCTGCCCTGCCTAGAGGAGGAAGGGGGTTGGGCTTTGTTGGTGCCAGCAGCAGCGCTTGAGCGGCTGCCATTTTAAGCAGCCCCTCTCCGGAGCCCTTTTGCATGCCACTCATCGTCCCTCTGCCACCGCCAGGCCCTGCTGCTCGCAAGACACAGGTAAGCAGCCACCAGGGCTTGTCCGGTGCTGTGGAGAAGGGAGGGGAGAGTTGGGGTGGCGGCTTATAGTCTGCTCCCCCCAAGGTCTGAGGGACAGTGGACCAGCCCCCTGCTGAAAAAGTTTGCTGGCCCCTGCTTTAGGACAAGCTCAAATTAAATGCAAAGTAAAGAAGGTGCTCCTCCCTCCCTCCTCCTGGCTTCTCCCTGCCCTGCCTAGAGGAGGAAGGGGGCTGTGCTTTATTGGTGCTGAACAAAGGATTTGCTGGAGCAATGTGGTTTTCTTAGGGCGTGTACAAATTGTAGAGTGGCAAATTTGGAACATGCAGGAGGAGAGCATTTAAAAGGGGACGGGCCATAGCTTACGGGTAGAGCATCTGCTCTGCATGCAGACAGTCCCCAGTTCAGTTCCTGGCATCTCCAGCTAGATCTGGGAGAGACCCCTGTCTGAAACCCTGGGGAGCTGCTGCCAGTCAAAGAAGACAGTATGGAGCTGGATGGAACAAGGATGTGAGATGGTATAAGGCAGCTCCCTGTGTTCCTGAGCATGCCACACTTTACAGGTACCTGCAACCCTGCCAAGTAAAGCAACTCCTTTTATTTCTTCCAGGTTGCGTCCAGTTTCTACAATACTACTATCAAAGTGGCTGCCTTTACAGACTCCGTGCATTAGGGGAAAGAAACCACTTAGATCTCACAGTGGGTGAGTCATGTCTCTTGTTCGTCACATCAGTTTATTTGAAGGTGCAGTGTGTTGCTAGCGCCTGCTGGCACCTGTTAGCCTGTCCCCCCACCTGCCAGCCCCGGAGAAATTAACTGCAATTGCTGATGGAACACATTTTTGAATGGCTTGACATGAGGATGAACCCAATGTTGTCCTTTATGCCTGGATAGTGATTTTGGATTCACTTTCATTGAGGAAATAAGCAAAAAGGCTTTTAACTTGGAAATAATGTTTTCAAAGTGGATTTATGTCTCTCTCTGCTGAAAAGATCTAAGAGGGAGATACAAGATTCCCCCTTAAATAATCTGTCTTCTGATAAATCTGTACTATGTGTTTGCAGTTCCAGAGTGATGCTAGCCTTTCGTTTTCATGAACGGAAGCAGCAATTTCAGCTTCCTTAGGTCAGGCTACCTCTTCAAAGTACTTAAGAAACTTTATAGTAAAATTGGCCTTCACCAACCCCCCCCCCCAAGATTACAACTCGGCCCCTGACAGCATCACAGCCATGTTGTAGTCCAAACACCTGGAAAACATCAGGACGGTGACAGCTTATTTAAACACCAATATTCGTAGGTACTTTATGCGAGAGACATTGGTGTATAATGTCTTCGCTACGTAACTTGACTGTGCTTTTTCTTTCTTCCCAGAGGGATTTCAGTCTTGGATGTGGCGAGGGCTGACCTTTCTGCTCCCCTTCTTGTTCTTTGGGCATGTAAGTTGGACGTCAGAGCTTTGTTCACCCGTGCATTGTCAGAAGATAAGGAGAAACCAAAGAGAGTGGTAGTTTGCTGTTCATTGTAACGCGTGTAGGCAAGGTTGTCTGTTCAGCTTCATTCATTCTACGAAGCTGCATTCCCCAGATGCCCACTTGACCACTTCGATCTGCTGAAATGGCTCCGCTACAACTGCTTATGCAATACCTGTTCTGCATTTGTTTTTTTAAATATAGATGTTTAGTGTAGCAACAGCCACAGTTTGGAACTCCCTGCTTATTTACAGTACACCAGGCAAGCACTTTGACTGCACTCATTTTCATTTAGGTTTTTTGTGGGGGAAATGTTTAAAAACTTTTTTTACCAAACACCAAAACACAAACATTGAAACCCCACAGGCGGCTGATACATTGGGTATACAATATTCAATAATATTCATTATTCAATAATATTCAATATTCAATAATAACATATTCAAGTCAACCTTATGTACACTTTTCATTTAGGTAAGCCTACCCAGATATATGGTGTGCTGACAGGTGTTTTTATCTGGCTTTTAGCTCATCATTGATTTTATTTAGTTTCTAATGTTTTAAATAGTTTTTATTGATAATTTCATTTTTAAAATTATTTTTGTAATCGGTTAAGTTTTTTAGAATCAAGCAGTATATCAATTTTATAAAATAAAAATAACATCCAACATAAGTACAGGCAGCGACCCAAAAACATGTCACTAAAAGGACGTAACAGGGGTGGCGAGGTGCGCTTATATGCACTCTGCCAACACATATGGGGCCCGGGAACAGAACCCCACGCGAAGTGGTCTTTGACTGTCCTCCACTGCAAGTACCTCCCCCTTGCACTGGGCCTATCCAATCAGACATCCATCTACTTTGATTGACAGTCACACCAAGTCTTGTGCACAAAAAGCCTTTCCCATCAGCTGATCCTTCTTCCTCAGCCTTTGCCAACCTTCAGACATTTTGCACTTCAACTACCTCCCACCAGCCCCAGCTAGAAACCCCGTTTCGCAAAGGCTGTTCTAAGTGGAGCTGCCACAAATTGAGTCCAGAACCTTTTCTAAGCAAAGCTCTTGCTCTGCTACAGAGCTCTCCATGGTTCTTCATTCTGACCAGTGTAAGAGGAAACTAACATGAACATGATCCTCAGGCCCTTTGTTTGCTTTGGTGTCCTCTAGCAGATGCCAATTTAGGCCTCTACGAGGTCTAAAATTAGTGCTTCTGGATCTTCACTAAGAATAACTGCTTAGCTTTCTGCAAAGTTAGCAGATTCTTTCTCAAGTCTCCCTTTCTTCTTTCCCTCCCTTTCCTTAAGTTTTGGCAGCTCTACAATGCTATCACACTTTTTGAACTGTCAAGACATAAGAAATGTAAAGAATGGCAAGTAAGTGGTTTTCCCCCTCAAGTACCAATTAAAATCTCGGCAAACAGGGAGGGGGGCATTGATTGAATCCCCTTATATCAGCTGGGAAAAGGTAGCAGATGGAGAAGATGAGAAAGTAGCTATCCACATTTTATTACCCATGGATATCTTGTGTTAGATGCGGGTGGCGCTGTGGGTTAAACCAGAGCCTAGGACTTGCCGATCAGAAGGTCGGTGGTTCGAATCCCCATGACGGGGTGAGCTCCCGTTGCTCCATCCCTGCTCCTGCCAACCTAGCAGTTCGAAAGCATGTCAAAGTACAAGTAGATAAATAGGTACCGCTCCGGCGGGAAGGTAAACGGTGTTTCCGTGCGCTGCTCTGGTTCGCCAGAAGCGGCTTAGTCATGCTGGCCACATGACCCGGAAGCTGTACGCCGGCTCCCTTGGCCAATAAAGCGAGATGAGCACCGCAACCCCAGAGTCTGCCACAACTGGACCTAATGGTCAGGGGTCCCTTTACCTTATCTTGTGTTACTGTGAAAGGTGCAAAGCCAACAGCCACCATGGCTCTGTTCTGCCTTCGCAGGTGGAGGCAGGAAGTGCCTATTCTGAATACTAGCTGCTGGAAGCCACGGTGGCAGGGGGCGTACTCTGGTGTCTTGCATGTGAGGGATTCCCACAGGAATCTGGCTGACCACTGAGAGAACAGGATACTGGACTAGATGGGCAGTTGGCCTGAGCCAGCAGGTTCTTCTTAAGTTCTTATGTACTCATACAAGTGATCTTACAGTAGAGAAAGGAAGCTGTATGTGCCATTCTAGTAATGGCTGGTTCTCAATACACTTAGCTGCTTTAGCTGGCAGCTAATTCTTAAAAGGGTTAACCTGTTTAAGGGGTAGCCAACCTGGTGCCCTCTGGATATTTTGGACTATAACTCCCATCATACCCAGCCAGCATTGCCCAGTGGTCAGGGATGATGGGAGTTTTAGTCCATAACCTCTGGAAGGCACCAGGTTGTCTACCCCTGGCCTATTTCACCATATCCTTATTGAGACAGCCTTAAAGGTTTTCCAGTGGGCTGCAAGAATGTCCTCATATAACGCCTGCCAAGTGCATAGGTTTGAGTTTGATTTTTTTTTATTTTTCTCCTGGTCCCATCTAGGTTTTTGTGCTTGCACTCACATTTCTGGTGCTCTTCCTTGGAAACTTCCTCACGACCCTGAAAGTTGTGCACGCTAAATTTCAGAAGAACAAAATGAAGAAATTGTGAAGACAGAAAGTCGTGCATGCTGGATGCTAGAACTTGAGGTCTGGTTTCATTTTTTCCTCTGCTGTGATTAGACTCATGTTCCAGACAGTCCTCCCGCTTCACCAGTGGCCCTGCAATAAGGGAACCATGGAGGAAATTCCACCTGCGTTATACTGTGAAGTCTTCCTCATCAGACTTGCGAGTGCTTGCGCTCTCCAGCTGGTAACCGGACTATTTATATTTAATTTAATCCAAAGCCCCTCTGGCCTTTGCTGGGATATAGCCATGAGGTTGATCCATTCTAGGAAGAAGATGGATTCTCAGGAGAGAACAAAAAAGAGATGAACTATTCGGGAATAAAGCAAACTTTGATTAAATACTCTCTTTAAAGTTCCTGGTATTGGATCATGAAGGTTGTCTCTCATGGGGCCAAGTGCTGAGTACTGCTTTTTTTCAGAGCCCATCTTGGAAGCTGATAAGGCAGCCTGGTTACCCCCCCCCCAAAATGTTTTGGACCACACTTCCCACTATTCCTGACCTTTGGTCAGTCTGGCTGTGGTTGATGGGAGTTGTAGTCCAACAACAGCTAGAGGGCATCAGGTTGGTGAAGGCTGGAGGGCAGGGGGAGCCAGTCTGTTGCTAGACCCCCCACCCATTCTGCACTTGCAACCAACTGAAAATGTTTTCAGTGGGCACATCCCACTGGATGTGGGCAGTGTGTGTGTGTTTGGGGGTACTCTTCACTGTAACCTATTCCAGCTAGACTAGACACAGGAAGAAAACTTGATTGAAATCCAGTGGATGATACCCTAATTTTTCATTAGCGTTGTTGATATGAAGGTTGAATGAATGTTTCAGCATTCAGATCTGTTGAGAAAGGGGGAGGAAGAAGAAAAGGTGGCAAATAAAGAGGAGCTGCCTCAATTCTTTCCCCTGTCTCAGTTTGTGATATGTCATCAAACTATATACATGCAGTGCTGGCTCTGCCATGAGGCAGAGTGAGGCAGCTGCCTCAGGTGGCCAATGCTGGAGTCCGTTCGGCTTCTATATGTGGGATGGGGAAGGGGGCGCCGTCTTATCATTGAGCAGCAAGGGCTGGCTCTGTATACATCCTTAGTTTAAAATGCATTTTAATGCTGGCTCTGGGTGTTGCGAAAGGGTTGCGAGGTAAACACTGACAGCGTGGCTCCTTGGTCATTTTGCAAAAGTGCCCAAACCATTGAGAACAGACAACTTGGAAGGTCGTCTGATTAAGAAAGCAAGTCGCAAGGGGGAGAGTCCAAAGGAGCTGCTGGCATGCATTTAGGGGCTTGTGGATAGGTTGGTAGGGGCAAAGTGTACCCTCGGTGGACGGGATGAGAAGCCACTGGTTAAATAATAGGCAGGTAGATGGAGGTGGGGGAGAGGAGGAAGGTCAGTAGCAGAGCTGAAGGCTTCGTCCTCCAGGACATTTTTTCAGGATTCTTTTTTTCAGTGTTGCTGTTGTTGTTGACAGCCAGTTTTTAATGGGAGACATCTTTTGAACCATGAGCCAGCAATATTGGCTTGGTTCAGTCCCACATAGGCAGAGGCTCTGACCAGGTTTGTTAACTCTCTCCGTGGGTTTACAGAGGCCCTTGCACCCAGTCTTCTCTCTCCCATATGGCTGTTTCATGGCTCCCATTATCTGAGTGGCTGTTCGAAGGCAGGAGTGGCAAAACTATGACCCTCTCTGCCTATTACTGCTTCCATCAGACCTGACCACTGATCATGCTGGCTGGGGCTTAGGGGAGCTGGAGTCCACAACTTCTGGAGGCCCCCTCCACATCCCAAGGGAATCAACTCTACCAAAGAGCCGCTCTTTTTCCAGGTGGGTGGCTTAAGGAGCCCGTCACCTGTGTCTGGTGTATAGTAGTTGGAGAGGGGAGAATATTGACAGAACGGTCTGATAGGAAATATTTAGGGGCTTGAGCACATGTAGGGAACTTGGCCTAATTTCGGAAGCTCATGGCAAGCAGTCAGTTTACCTGCTCCACATATAGACCCATCTACTCTGCTAGGTCAACCCCTGGTATCTCCAGATAGGGATGGGAAAAACCTTGCCTGGAACCTGGAGAGCTGCTGCCAGTCAGTGTCAACAGTACTGAGCTCAGGTGGCTCCAGGGCCTGCCTTGGTTGAAGGCAGCTTCCGGTGTTCCTGCCCCTTCCAATTCTTTTGGTTTTCAAGGAGCTCTGTATTAATGATGTTCACGCGTGGAGTGGGAGATCTGCCATGGCCACAGGAGTGTTTGAGGGTACCGTGAAAACAAAATAGGATGCAGTGGCAAAAGTATTTCACTTAGGGGTTGGCATTCTGGAAATGACAGGTGAAAGCAGCATCAGAGACAAAATCCTGGAAACCCCTTCAACCAACAGGCTGGTTCAGGAAAATATTTCCCTATGCCTTTTGCTGAGAAGCTTCTGATAACTCTTTGCTCCAAAAGCAACATTATCCATTGCAAGAAGCCCAAATACTCCCTGTTCTTTCATGCCGGCTAGACATAATTAGCTGAATTCTGCTGACTGAAATCTTTTAGCGAACTCTTCCCTGTACACGGTATAAACTGAGGCCGACTTTTGCCCTCTGGCACAATAATCTCATCCAGGATATCAACTAACGCACCTGCTACAACTTTACTCATTTCTTCTCCCTACCACCACCAGCCTTTCAGATTAATACAACTGTTTGTTGGTACATTGTATAAAACCCCATTTCATATTCCAGTTAAAAGTTTTTGAAAAAGAAGGAAACCAAGGGAGAGTGAAGAATCTGAATTGGCTTTCAACTTAAGGCAGCGCTGCATATTTAGAAGGGAAAATTTTGAGGTAGATAGTACAAAGTGAAATAAACAAAAGCAATTTCAAAAATCGGTATTTATGGTTTACAGAAGGTGGATTGCAAGAGTATCCTATGGGATGAGCCACGGGATCCCCATACCTGTCCTAGTGCATTCATTGGACCTGAGTAATCTGTTACTTAGCCACATAGGTTCTTTGATAGCTGGAATCTTGCTACAGCTTCTTCTGAAGGGTTTCCAATATGCCACAAGGTAAGGTTGTGGCCGCTGAAAAAACCACAGTGCCTCTAATGTTGCCACCACAAAAAGGGTAGAAACAGAACTGTTTTCTTCTGCAAATGTTACAGCTGTTTTATCAGAGCAGAGACTGAGTTGTAGCCAATGTTAGTCCTGCTCAGAGTAGCTCTATTGAAGTTAATTGACATGACTAACTTGGGTCCATTAGTTTCAGTAGGTCTGTGCAGAGTAGAACTTTTATGGCTACAACCCATTATTTCTAGTTTGCTTTTGTTTGGTTGCTTTTTTTTTAAAGCAAGCAAGAACTTGTGTATTTAAAAATGGCAAGAAGTTGGACCTACATACCTTACCTTAATTGCTCCTCAACAAGTACATTTGAAACACCCTGGAAATTTCTTCCAGAATCTATATACAAAAGAGCTCATTCCACAGTTAGCTAAAAGCTCAACCTTCAGAAAAGAAGGTGTAACAAGAAGGAGAACTTACAGCATGAAAACAAGTTGATTTTCTCATTAATTTCCAAGTAAAGAGACAGGAGCAGTCAATTTAAAAAGTGAGGGGGGAAGGGTTTAAAATACTGAAGAAACAGTCTTTTGTGTTCTGTTGTCTGAAAATACCAGAAATCATCATAATATGGCACATGGCCTCGATTTTGTCTGACGCTTTGCCTTTTTGATAGCATTCAGTGCAATGTTAGCTGTTTCTCTAAAAACATCCTCAACATTTTCACGAAACTTGGCAGAGCACTCGAGGTAAATGTCTGCGTTCATCCGGCGACAAGCTTCTTCACCCTGAAAGGTAATAGTAACAAAAGGATTTCAGGAAGGAGTCAGGCCGAAGGTAAGCAACCAGAATAAGAAATATGCATTATTTTAACTGAGTTTTTATGTTAATAACAAACAGGGAGCTTGTGTGTCTGCTTGTTGCATATTTGCCTAGTTGTAGAACTGTTTTTGTTTGGTGCTTGCCGGCTGCAAATGTTACATTTTCTACTGCTGTAAACACCAAGGAGATAACACACACACACACACACTCTCTCTCTCTCTCTCTCACACACACACACATATATATATAGCCAACAGGTTTGGAATCTAGTTTACAGAACTGTATTTACCTGAATATAAGTGATTGGCTCCTGCTGAGCTGAGCGGAGTTTCCGTAGATGTTCTTTGTCCTTCCGAAGGTCTGTTTTGCAGCCCACAAGTACTATGGGGATTCCACGGCAGAAATGGTTCACCTCATGGGACCACTGGCAGAGAGAGATCAAAGTGTTTAAACAGCTAGATGTGACAAACAAAACTGTAACTAGAGATGGAAACATTTCTGATACTGAGACATGAGACACAGAGAGAAGGCATATGTTCAAGGAGAATTTGGAAGGAACAAATATAAAGGTAAAGGTACCCCTGCCCGTACGGGCCAGTCTTGACAGACTCTGGGGTCGTGCGCTCATCTCACTCTAGAGGCCGGGAGCCAGCGCTGTCCGCAGACACTTCCGGGTCACGTGGCCAGCATGACAAAGCTGCATCTGGCGAGCCAGCGCCGCACACGGAATGCCGTTTACCTTCCCGCTGGTAAGCGGTCCCTATTTATCTACTTGCACCCGGGGGTGCTTTCGAACTGCTAGGTTGGCAGGCGCTGGGACCGAACGACGGGAGCGCACCCCGCCGCGGGGATTCGAACCGCCGACCATGCGATCGGCAAGTCCTAGGCGCTGAGGTTTTACCCACAGCGCCACCCGCGTCCCTAAGGAACAAATATACAACTTGGTAAAAAAGCCATCAAAATAATAGTAAAATAAGACAGCAGATTTTTTGTTCGCATTCATCCGTCTCAAGAGACAGTGGAGTGTGTGTCTGGGGGTGAAGTCAAACCACTGCGCTAGCAGCCCTGAAGTGACCTCTCCAGGTTGCAAGCCTGGGCAGTGTGTATGGAGGTCCTGGGCTGCCCAGATGTCAAGACCCCCCCCTTGGCCTCACTGATGTGTTCCAAAGGAAAGTAGAGCAATATATTTGACACCAGCTTGGCTGCAGGAAAGAGTCATACAAGATGTCATCCAACCACCTTAGGGACTCCAGATTTGTGTAGGGTTTACTCCTTAGCCTTTTCTTCTCCTGAAGCTGTCCCACAAGGCAGCAGAGGATCAGAGTTTTGCTTCTAGATGGGCTACCTTCCCAGGTTTAGGAGCCCCATCTGCCCAGACCAATGGCTTCAAGAAAGGAGATTCTGACTGAACATCAGCATGAACCTTCTAATGATAAGAGCTGTTTGACAGTGAAATGCGCTCTCTCATAAAGTTGGTGCTCTAAATCCACCCCAATCTCACACACACACAAATTCACTACAGCCACCCTAGGCCACTCCCAACCTCTCTCGCCACCAAGGAAATATAACAAGCAAATAGTAAAAGAACCCACACAAATGATGCTGACGCAAAACCCCACACATACACTAAATATAAGAATAGAAGCACTGCCACCCGACCCCACCCCACTCACCCTTGTCCCCTCCCCCTCTTTCCCCCCTCGTCTTCCTAATGTAACACTAATGTCTCTCAACAAATGAAACTGATCTGTAGAAACCGCAACTGGAAAAAAGAGACATTGCACATACTTTTGTAAACTAAGAAATCTTTAATATTTTATTTTTTTAAAAAAAGCAAGTAGCCAAATAACTAACTGCAGAACCATCTACAACAAAGGTCTCTTACCTTAATTAATACATTATCAAAGCTAGTAGGGTTCATGACATCATAGCATATTAAAACCACATTGGTACTCTGGTATGAAAGTGGTCGTAGGCGATCATAATCCTCCTGCCCTGAAAGAGAGGGGAAGTAAATAGCTCTTTTTTAAACTTTCTCTAAGGGATAGTAAGAAATACCATAAAGCAGGAAGCGGCATCTATAATTAATCCTCCCTGTGGCTTTTGCCACTGATCTTCACCTATTCAACTGGCACCACCTATTTTTATTTTATTTTCTTCCTGCAGGCATTTTAATTGTGGTTTGATTATATAGTTTTAACCAATTTTTGTTTTTGTATTGTACCTTTGCAAACCATTTAGAGACTATTGCAGTTAAGCTGTATAAAAAACTGTTTAAATAAAATAGATAAACCTGAAAATGAGCAATTGGGTGGTATAAATGCATGGCAGGTAAGGCAATCAATATCTGCTAGTCACAGTGGCTGCGTACTACCTCTAGTACTGGAGGTGGTTGGAGAGCCCTGTTGTTCTCGTGTCCCACTTGTGGGCTTCCCAGAGGCATCAGATTGGCCAGGATACTGGACTGGATGGGCCATTGGCCTGACCCAGCAGGGCTTCCTAAACCAGATTAACTGACTCAAGTATAACCTGGGAATATTGTTTGTAGGGAATGGGTGGAGTGTTACAGAGCTGTAAGATAATATAATCTTCAGAAAACTACAGTTCCCTGGGTTCCCTAGGGGTATCAATGACTAAGGTGGATGTAGCCTTCACAAAACTTGAATGAGTAAAAGGAAACTCTTCTCTCTTGAATGGAGTCAAAATACAAATAAATTGTATTCTTTACTAAGCTCCCCCTTATGGTAGCCTAAAAATGCTGCCCAAAGAGTCCCTAGATCAGGCGTAGGCAACCTAAGGCCCAGGGGCCGGATGTGGCCCAATCGCCTTCTCAATCCAGCCCGTGGACGGTCTGGGAATCAGCATGTTTTTTTACATGAGTAGAATGTGCCCTTTTATTTAAAATGCATCTCTGGGTTATTTGTGGGGCATAGGAATTTGTTCATTTCCCCCTCAAAATATAGTCCGGCCCACCACATGGTCTGAGGGACAGTGGAGCGGCCCACGGCTGGAAAAGGTTGCTGACCCATGCCCTAGATTGTAGGGGAAACTAGGAGGTAACTGCCTCATGTAATTATTCCTCAGCTGCCCTAAATGATTTAACATGTGATATCACTGTGATGTCAAACACAGAAGACAACTTCTGTTGGCCAACCACTGACAGTGGCAAATTACTGTAGAAATTGAAGCTGTGTGTGTTGTGTTGGATCAGTTGAGGCTATCCTAAGATTTCCAGACAGTGAAATCTTAAAGCAATTAAAGGAGGGGAGGGGAAAAACATTCACCAGGTATGTTATTTCCTTTGTGTTCCTATGAAGCTCTGAAAGTTGCAATTCCACAGGCCGGGGGTGCGTCCACTGCTGAGTCTTTCCGCGGAACAACAGTATGCACAAAATACAGGCAAAATTGCATCGGTGCCCATGTACACTTGTGTTAGTCCTTTGGGGATTTAAGATGAGGGATGGGGAAGCTTCAGTTTCCAGATGAGATAAGACTATAAGTCCCATCATCCCCAATGATAAGAAATGGTGGAAGCTGGAGTACAGCATCCCCTGAAAGGCCACATGTTCCACATCCTCTGATTAGAACCAGCTTTTCTGAAGTTCCCTTTGCCTGGTTGCCTGAAGGTAGTTCTCACCCTCCGAAGGTGAGCAGGTGAGTAGCTTTCTCCACAAGACCCACAAATTGCCCTGCAGAGTCAACCAAGAGACAAACCAATTCTACAGAAAGCATAAATGGGCCCCTCGTGCCTCTTGTCTTTTCTTGTCCTCCCCATTCCAGACTTTTGCATAATAATTGAGGTGGGTATGGGGAATTCCAGCAACATAAATCAAGCAAAGCAAAGCACTTGCTTGCTTGCTCTCCCCCACTCCTGTGACTAATACTTTGCCTTCCTTGATTTTCAGATATGCACATAGCACAGAGCTTTTATTTCCACCTTGATTAAGCCCCAAGTTACGCCTGGCATGCCATGCTGTATTAGCTTAGTCAGCAGGAAAGCAAAGGTCAGACGATATAAACATGTAATCTGTGAAAATTGCACAACTCTGAATTATCACACTGTTATAGTAGGAGGTAAATAGCATAGCACAGCCTTTCCCAACCTGGTGTCCTCCAGCTGTTTTGGTCTACAAGCCCAATCCGCCACAGCCAGTGGACACCAAGTGGGAGAAGGCTCACATTTCGGGAGAAAGGAGATTAGTCAGGACCATCCTCCTCCCAGCTATTGGCAAACACTGCGAAAGCTGCCCTAAGGGTGTCATTTGTTAGGTGTTACTAAAAATGCTTCTGTCCGCCTTTCTATGCATGCAGTCTGCAGCAGAAGTTCCTTTTGTGGAGCGCACTGGGTGGCCTTTGGGAAGCCACGGCTTCTCTGCCTCAGTTCTCTCATTTGCAAGTATGAAAATACTTGGCAGGGCTGTTGAAAGGTTTATTGAGAAAAAGAAAAACTCTTTGAGCACTCAGAACAGAGCTGTACAAAATGCCAATGTTAGCAGTGAGAGGCTGAGAGCTCATGGGGTTTTACCTTGATGGGGTCTGTGTGACTGTCTGTTTGTTTTTAGAGGCTATGCATGGGCACCCCAGGCTGCACCAAGCTCCACCCAGGTATTCGGCCCAGTAGATCAGGGTATAAGTTGAGTAGAAGCAGACTCTGTGTGCAGCAGCAACTCCCACTCCACCACTTTAGGTCATTGGCCTCACAGCAGCAAGAGGTGCAAAGATGATGGTGAGGAGAGATAAAGCTTGACACACAGGCCAGAGATCTTGGTGCACAGAGTTGTCTGTGACAGTCCTAGATTATTAGCACACATATGCGCCACTCGTTCATTCTCGCTTTCTGTGCGGTCTGGGTAAAAGCTGGATCCAGAAGAATTAAAACAGAGCTCATGGACTTGCATTATATTACACAAGGTCTTGCCAGAACCCATAAAGTTCAAGTTTGTACACTGCACAGTAAAAATTGCAGATCCAGTGCATGCCAGCACCACACAAACATTAAGGTGTGGAGCTTCATGATTTTGACATAGGATGACCACTGGAACGTGGGCAGCCTCAGAGGCTTTGCACCAAGGAAATCCTCAGTGGTGCCGTCGTGACTGTGAGAACCCTGTTGGTTTCCCCAGCCATTCATCATCTCCCACCAGCCCTCTCTTGATCTCTTTTCAGCCACAGCAGGAAATAATTGATGTTGTGCTGATACATGCTTTGGGGGGGGGGTGAGATTACCTGCAGTGTCGTATAAGTGTAGGAGCACTTCTTTTTTGCCCAGAGTGATGCTGGTGGTGTATTTCTCAAATACTGAAGGAGCGTATTGCTGTCAATGAAAGGGAAGCACAGTGCTGTTGGTAAATATTGTGATGTTCCACACAAACCTGTCCCTGCTTAGCTTAATGAGCAATGTATTTTAAAGTCCATATTTTCCTTCTTTTTTTGCAAAAGTTAATAATAATAATAATAATAATAATAATAATAATAATAATAATATAATTTTTATTTATACCCCGCCCTCCCTGGCCAAAACCGGGCTCAGAGCAGTTAACATCAAATGTATAAAATCAGGCAATCAATTAAAATACTGTACATCTTAAAATCAGATCAGGATCATAATAAAATCCAATCAGATGGCAACCCACAGATTAGGGTTGGGGACCTTAAATACTCACCAGGCCCAACTGTTTGTGCTAAACTTATATGGACCTGTGAGGGGGGGAAAATCTCATCCAGATTTTTAAACCATAGTAACTGAGTTTCTGAAAATAATAATAATAATAATAATAATAATAATAATAATAATAAATAATAATAATAATAATAATTTATTATTTGTACCCCGCCCATCTGGCTGGGTTTCCCCAGCCACTCTGGGCGGCTTCCATAGAAACCAAAAATACACTAAAATATCATACATTAAAATCTTCCCTGAACAGGGCTGCCTTAAGATGTCTTCTGAATGTCAGGTAGTTATTTATCACTTTGACATCTGATGGAAGGGCGTTCCACAGGGCGGGCGCCACTACCGAGAAGGCCCTCTGCCTGGTTCCCTGTAGTTTTGCTTCTCGCAATGCGGGAACCGCCAGAAGGCCCTCGGCACTGGACCTCGGCGTCCGGGCAGAACGATGGGGGTGGAGACGCTCCTTCAGGTATACTGGGCTGAGGCCGTTTAGGGCTTTAAAGGTAAGCACCAACACTTTGAATTGTGCTCGGAAACGTACTGGGAGCCAATGTGCTGCATGTGTCTGTTTTTTCTCAACAGATCCTCAGCATCACTCTTGAGGATATAACTTGGGTGTTAAGGTTTAGGAATCACATGTCCATGGCACTGAAATGGAGCAGATTTCTAGACCAAAGTACCCTTCCTGCCCAGATAAACAGTAGCTTTCTCCGGTTGGCCTGCAGGGAGAACAAGAAGTTGGGCAGAGGAGCACGCCCTCAAAGGGGAGACGGAGGTGGCTGCTTCCTCTGGACTAAAATAGAGCCACACATGCACAGGGGCTAAGCGAGTTTGCATCCCGCATGGCGTTCCTCTTCCTTTATTCGGCATAAGCCTTGGCTGCAGGCCATAGCATGGTACACTGGTTCTGCCTCTTTAATCTCAGCCTTTATATACCTTATTGATGACTGTTCTGCAGATACCGCCTTATCAAGAGGTCAGTTCCACACAATGCAGAATTGAGCCTTTAGTGTTGTGGCACCTGCCCTTTGGAATTCCCTCCCCTTGAACACCAGACACACACAGTCTCAGTTGTTTCGGCACCAACTGAAGAATTTCCTGTTTCAATAAGACTTTTAAGTTGAGATCTTTCTCAGTCTGCCTCTGCACTGGAATTGTTTTTAATGTTTTTGTCCTATCGCTTATTGTTTGCTACCCTGGGCTCCTTTAGAAGGAAAGGTGGGGGTATACGTATAATAAATAAATACCGTATTTTTTGCTCTATAAGACTCACTTTTTCCCTCCTAAAAAGTAAGGGGAAATGTGTGGGCGTCTTATGGAGTGAATGCAGGCTGCGCAGCTATCCCAGAAGCCAGAACAGCAAGAGGGATTGCTGCTTTCACTGCGCAGCAATCCCTCTTGCTGTTCTGGCTTCTGAGATTCAGAATTTTTTTTTCTTGTTTTCCTCCTCCAAAAACTAGGTGCGTCTTGTGGTCTGGTGCGTCTTATAGAGCGAAAAATACGGTAAGCTGGGAATTCAGCATAACCTCCTTCACACACTTTACGGCCTCCAGGATCTTTATCCTCATTCACCTATTGTTCCCATCGGGTCTTTTTAACACACTGACATTTGCCAAAATATCTGGAGGGGATTGGGTTGGAAAAGGTTGCTAAGCAGATTTACTTGTGACTAAATTTCATTGGGTTCAATAGGCCTGAGAAGTTTTTCTATTGGGTTGCAGCCTTCATTGCATTTTGTGAAAGACACATAGCAAGACCTTCTGGGTATTTGCTGATGGAGTGAATTTTGAACTTGAAATTACTATTCTATTACTATCACAACCTCCTTCAACCCACCAAATTGTGCAATAGTGACATTTATTGCAAAAACCATTATTTATGTAGCTTGCAAACTGGCACAGTATGTCCTTAGGGTGGGGAAGCAGTGCTGGGAAGGGTTTTGTGACATCTGAAAATTACTGTAACGCCTGTACGCAACTCTAACCTTCAAATGTGCTAACAGCTAAAGCTATGACAGGAAGGACGTCATCTGCACATCCTGCCACTATGTGGTTTAGATATGAGTTGAAGAGCTTCTTGTGACCAACTCTAGCGGAAAACCCCCAACTTATGCCATCCTATGCAATAGCCTTTGCCAGCCTGGTACTCTCTAGTTGTTTTTCATGGGGCGGATAGCACTTGTAGTCCAAAGCAGCTGCAGAACAACAGGTTGGCAAAGGCTGATATACTAGACTAACTGCCCTAACACAAGCTATTTAACTGCTCTGTTTAAGGGATTTTCCCATCTGAAACAAGCCTTCAAAAGCCAAGCCAACAAATATGGGTGATGGAAAGGTTACATTTGGGGCTTTTAGTTTTTTAAAATGAATGTTATGAACATTCTTTCTGTTTCATATACGTTATAAAATGAGATAAAAAATATATTTACAAAAAAAGATTAAGAGCACCTCAGAGATTGAAGCAGAGTGTAAGATGAAGGTAGGTAACGCAGCCACAAAGCCATAAAGATGGGAAGGCAACCAGTTGATCAAAACCCAGGACAGGGAGAAAATACAACCTGGGAAAGTGACCTGGTGGAAGTAACATCTACTCCAGGAAACATTAGAAGCAGTTGCTGCACATGTAAAAGGCCCACTCTTTCACAGTGAATGCACAGCATGTGGAAATATTTGTAATATTAGAAGGAATTGCCCAGCTAAAGAAACTCAGTGCAGGAAGTGTTTTTTAAAAAATAGAGCATTTTACTAGCAGGTGGGAGATTCTTTTCGGTATTTGCCATTTGCAATTTTAAGTGCTGTTGTGATTGTTCAAAGAAAGGTGACACGTCTCAGAGATGCAAAAGGTGTCGTCGTCGTAAATGGATGACATCCATGGCACTTTATGCAGTAGACCATGACAAAACACTGGCCGCCATCTTTCAGACTCAAGCTAAAAAAGTATAAAAAGAATCCACCACGTCCTTATTTGGGGGACCAGAACAAGAAAGGTCATTATTTCCAGTGGCTCAATCTCAAGAGTACAATGAGGCTGACAAACCCACAATGGTTGGTGCTGATGTATCTGTAGCCATGAACAAGGTGGAGTGCAATGACAACTACATGGTTCACAATGGATGTCTGTTGAATTGTGCAACTTAATTTTTCCTTAATAGAAGAGACCTTCCCATGAAGCTCCGCAACGGCCACTGACGCTTGTGAGTGAAAAGGAGTAAAGATGTACTCACTTGCATTCCTGCTGTGCAGACTTCTCTGCCAACAGCTGAAAATATGCCGTGACCTGCCATCTATGGATGATGGGTTGTATACAAATTTAATAAACAATAAAATAAAAATAAAAAACAGGCTTCACCAGATCCATGGAGATCCAGGCCTTCAAGAAGTCTTGCTTACGTTAGAATATATCAGGATGTCCTAAACACCTCTGAAATACTTAAGAGATGACTAGAAAACACTTTGCAGGCTATGGAGCTCTGTGTTGTTGTGCCACAATCTATAATAGCATCAGGGTCTAACCAGATGCCATAAGCAAGCCAAGCTGACGAAGTATGGTGGGCTGGCACTGGAAAGGACATGAAGAACTCTAATCTTGTGGGCATGAGGGATCTACTTTTATGCTTGTTCCAATCTACCTGAATTGTGTTGGGGTGGAGGGTCTAGTGAAGAAGGAGTTTACAGTGGTACCTCGGGTTAAGAACTTAATTCGTTCCGGAGGTCCGTACTTAACCTGAAACTGTTCTTAACCTGAAGCGCCACTTTAGCTAATGGGGCCACCTGCTGCCGCCGTGCCGCCAGAGCACGATTTCTATTCTCATCCTGAAGCAAAGTTCTTAACCTGATGTACTATTTCTGGGTTAGCGGAGTCTGTAACCTGAAGCGTCTGAAACCCGAAGTACCACTGTATTTGTTGCTAACCCTGAAGAATGATTTCCATAGAAGACTGACTTTGGGCAGGTGTCTAGGATGTGAGATTTTAGGTTGAGGGGTACATCTTAGTGCTACACTGCTTTGGGGGAAAGGGACCCACTTCCTTTTTTCCACAGGTGTTTGGGCTGGCAAAATGTGGATATTCTCAACTTTTGATCAGTCTCCTAATCTCTTTTATTCTCTCCCCTCTACCTCCTCTTTTGGTGGCCTGGGCTTATTATTTTTTTGGTAACCCTCTTTGAGGGTGAAATGTATTGATTGCAATATAAATATTGGATATACGTGTTTACTTTTTTATTAAACTCAAGATTTTTGGTTGGTGAAGTGTGTGTGGGGGGAAGAAGAGATGTGTGTGGAATTTAATGCTTCCTTTTTCTTAGAACATTTTGTCATACATTCTGCTCTTCGTCACCCACTTCTCAGGGCAGCTTTTTCACTTTGCTAAATGACAAAAGCTGGGTTTGGGTTTTTTAAACTTTTTCTAATACATGCCCTGTCTCCCTTGCCCGCCCGCCCAACGGTGAACTTGCACCCCATCCATCCTGGCCTTTGGGCAGCTGGGTAAGGTAGCCCACCCACCCCCCCCCCGTCGCCAGACCCTAATGGAAGGTCCCACCTCTCACTTTTCCTGCTATTGGCCCCGTGGGCGAGACCTGCCTGGTCCAAAAGGTTCTCTCGCGGGGGGGAGGGGGGTTCTGGCGGAAAGTTCTGGAACCCGAGAGGGAGAAAAGGCGGGAAGGGCGAGCGGGCTGCGATTGGCTGAGGGAGGCCCCCTACTCACCTCAGGGAAGGCGCCTTCAGCGAAGACCAGGAGCAGCGATGTTTTCCCGCAGCCCCCGTCGCCCACCACCACCACCTTCAGCTCTTTCTTCTTCTTCTTCTTCCTCCCACCCTCCGCAGGCGGGCGCTCGCCTTCCTCCGAGTCCCCGCCTGGCACGGAGCCGTTACCTTCGGCCATGGGGCGGCTTCTCCCGCCGCACCCCTTGGAGGCGCGGGAGGGAAGGGGCGCCTCTCTGAGGGAAAGGCAGCCCGGCGGAGCCCCTCCGTCCGTCCCTCGCTCCCTCCCTCAGCCCGGCAATGACAGAAGCCGGCTCCGCCGTCCTTCCTGCCGGCTCAGAAGACAGAGGAAGAGGCGAAGGATGCGGTCAGGCGGCCTCTCCCTCGGCGCAGCTCTTGCCTCAACCGCTAAAAAACACACATTAGCAGCAACCCCAAACACACACACACACACACACGGAAAAAGTTTTATTGTTGTTGGTGTGACATTGCGGCTCCAAATGCGCACAGGAAAAAACGCCAGCAAGGCAAAAGTCTCCGCTCCCGAGGAGCTTACAGTGCAAATGCGACTTTGGAGAGATGGAGGTGAGCGGTAAGCGGCATTTCACTTTAAAATGTATGCCCACATACCTGGAAGCCCATTAAATGTGTGGAATTTGTTTTTAGCTAGCGGCAGCACTTTTAACATGCTCGGAGTAACTAACGTGGAATTTAAAAAAAAATTCCAAAAGTAAAATACAATTACTGTAGTCAAACATTTTCCAATATACGTTTCCTCAGTAATCGACTTCCCTTCCATGCTTTCCTCAAAATTATCTATTGCTGCCAGTGGCGTAGCGTGGGTTGTCAGCACCCGGGGCAAGGCAAGTAATTTGCGCCCCCTAACCCGTGGATTTGCGCCCCTAACCCGTGGATTTGCCCTAACCCCAGATGTTGCGGCCGGCCCCCCCTGCACCCCCCACGCTATGCCACTGATTGCTGCTGCATATTATAATTAAGCTATACCTCCCCCCCTCCAATTTATTCTCAGAATAACAATAACTGCTGAGCTTACACCAAACCTACTAGAGTTTTAACATCTTTACATTAATATTTTTAATAACCTACAAACATTACCCAATCCTCCTTGAAGGCTGTCTCATCTTGTCTCATCTTAATTTTACTAGTTAAGTTTACTAATTCAGCATATTCCATAAATTTCAACTGCCACCCCTCTTTTATAGGTACTGCACCCTCCCACCATTTGGGGGCATATAGCACTCTCACTGCAGTAGTCGCATGCAGAAATAGTCTTTGGTGCATCTGGTCCAGTTATCCCTAGGAGAAAAGCTGGGGGTTTTTTTTGGGGGGGGGAGTCCTCTTAAATATATTTTTTTATCTCATTAAGTTATCATCTCCCAAATCCCTTAGCTATTCTGCAAGTCCACTGCATACGCAATATGATAAAGAAACCTTTTGTTTCTTTACATTTCCAACACATACCTGATTCTGACTATACATCTTTGTTAGTTTACTTGGTGTAAAGTACCATCTATAAATCATTTTAATTTGTGGAACTGTTTGACCACAGTATGTAATGATGACAACTAGCACAGTTAGCTTTCAATAAGGATTAAGATAAATTTCATTGAGGTCTATCTGACTGTTAGATGTTTATCTAAACTAAGGGTTAAGGTGACTCCACCTTGCTTGATCTGATCTGCATGAGAGACCACTTGAAAACCCCATGTGTGCCACCGTGAGCTCCATAGAAAGGTGGACTATAAATGTATGAACTCAAGTAAATTCATTGCTTAGTGTGGCAAGATAGTGGATCTGGGATTAAAACAGGATGGTACTCTCTTTGTGCTTATTTGTGAGAACCACTCACCAGGCTTGCTCTGCTTTGAAAACAGGTTCATAGTTGGGGAGGTGATATACAAGGGACTTAGTATCCCCGTATGTGTTTCTCTGTAAAATTAACTTTACCCCTTTGGAAGACTTCCTCACAAATCCAAATATTCTGAATCTCTAACTGTTCAAGATAATAATATAAATAGGGGAAGTTGTTAACACTGAAATATTATGTAATGGCTACAGAAAAAATAGACTCTAGTTCTGAAAACACAAATTGCAGATTTCAGAAACATTGGTTGGCAGCTACCTTTGGAAGCTGTCCAGACTTGTACTCTTGAAATAATAGGCAGGTGGGAAGGGGTTAATAGGAATCACACTTCTTATGAAGCTGCACCACCCAACAGAGTGTAAAAATAATTGTGCACATTTACATTCTCCATGTGTGTTAGCCACTTTTTGTTCACACCTTTAAAATACCAATGTGTAAATATATTTTTTATTTCTTCAGCAACAGAAGGTAACATAACTTTGACAAAGCACCAACCATTCTGTAGTTACTCAAACTTCCACAGGGGGTCACTTAGGAACCTATTCAGCTATGTGGTGGATAGTTGGGATCATAAACAGTAGTGATCCAAACCAGCGCTACTGAAAACCCAGATGTATGTTGTCTCATTTCTCAGTATAGGAATTTCTAACATGCTGTTTCTGCAATATAAGCAGTGTTTGAGGCAATTTAATTTTATTAAACCACCTAATAATTGGTAAGTTCCAGGATGCAGTTGGTCAGAATGCATGAGGTTTTTTCCTACTCAAGAAGGCTAGTACCCAATATGAAGGCATTCAAAACTCACCTGTTCTAGCAGGCTTTAGACCTAATTGGAACACATTTAATTGTATACATTCCCTTGCTTTCTTGAAATTTTTGTTATTGCTTGCATTTTAGTATTTAAAGGTTGACTTTATTGTTAACTTTCTTTGATGTTCCTATTGATGCAGAAAGCTAGGATATAAATATTTTAATAACATAAAAATAATTAAGGTTTTGCATTAGAGGATTACTCACTAGGCAGAATTGGAGCTGCAACCTTTTTATCGATTTTAAAACTGCTTAATTTATTAAAAAAGCACCCCAGGTGAATTGAGGAACTTAAAAAGTCTATGTTTTTCATATAACTATTTATGAAAACTGTTGAAAGTCAACTGCTGAGAACGCATTTAATCACTTGTCTAAAGAAAGCTTGGTTGATAGGATGGCACCATAGAAACGTGCCCTCCCTTCAATTCTCACACCAGGGAAGGGGTCTTTTGGGATGGCATCTATCAAATAAGTCTTCTTAAACAGATGAATTAAGTGAATTCTGAGCTGCAAAGACTCACTTTAGCCACCCAGTTTGCTGTGCTGGAGGCAGTCTGGATGGGGCAGAGGTGTCCCTTCACCCAGCCCTGCCTGGCTTCATATACGTGTATTGTACTTGATTTACTCTGCATCACTGGCAGCTCTATGTATGAACAGACTCCACTGATAAGATACTGCATTTCATGGGGACAGCAGATTGACATTTTGATCACTGGTGCTGAAAGTGCTGAATTAATCATGTTATTAACTTCATGCTGTAGTCACAATCTGATGAAGATACATTGTGAATAAGCGCATATGTGTTCTCTGAATCACAACAATTTAACAGCAAAGGTGGTAAATGCAAGCAGCAAGGTATTTTAGCCACAATCCAGAGTCTTATGTGTTGCTTGTACAGTTGCAAGTGACATTTTTCAACCCCAATTACAAATCTGGTTTGTTATCAAAATTTACAGACTTTCAGCTGTTTGCAATGAGCAAATCAAACAAAAGCAATTGAAATAGCTCAACACAACGGATGCTTCAAGTGGTTTCCCCAAATTCAGCTGAAAATGCAACTTATAGTAGCTTCTCCACTCCCACTGTTATTCAACCCCCTGAATAGAATCCTTCTCAACAGCATAAATATAACAGTTGTCTCAAGCACACCTGATTCAACTAATCAAGGGCTTAATTAGTTGCACCAGGTGTGCGTGAGCTGTAACACATGAAATACACAAGTTGGCTAGGGGTTTGTAGAGTGTCAAATTTGGCTGCCTGCTAGAAATATGGTTAAGTAAAGACAATGGTCCAAGAAGGTAAGAGAAGAGAAGATAGCCAGTGTGGTGTAGTGGTTAAGAGTGGTAGTCTCGTAATCTGGGGAACCGGGTTCACGTCTCCGCTCCTCCGCATGCAGCTGCTGGGTGACCTTGGGCCAGTCACACTTCTTTGAAGTCTCTCAGCCCCACTCACCTCACAGAGTGTTTGTTGTGGGGGAGGAAGGGAAAGGAGAATGTTAGCCGCTTTGAGACTCCTTAAAGGGAGTGAAAGGCGGGATATCAAATCCAAACTCTTCTTCTTCATCACCCTTCACAAACAAGAAGCAGGATACAAAAAGATAGTGAAGGCACTCCATGTTCATATAGACCAGGGGTAGGCAACCTAAGGCCCATGGGCCACAAGCGGCCCACGGGGGTCATTTAACCGGCCCGTGAGCTGCCCCCAAACCAAGCTGCCCACTCAGCGAGTCCCTGCGCGCTGCACTAAACCGGCGCACCACAGGGACTTGCTTTCACGGTGCTGAAAATCATGTCTGAGCAATGTCGGAAATTGCGTCTGCGCAGACACCAGAAATCACAGGCGTGCACACTCATGTGCATGCGCAGTCTGGCCCAGAGAGGGATCTCCGCTGGAGTGAACCGGCCCAGGCGAGGTAAACCTTGCCGACCCCTGCTATAGACACCGTTGGACGCATAGTTCACAAGTTTAAAGTTAAAGGAACAATGGTTACACTACCTGAATGGGGCAAAAAAAGGAAGCAATCGCGGCAGCAACCAGATTTCTGAGAAGGCAGGCTGGGAAAAATCTTCGAGCGGCTGCAAAAGAGCCGTAGCAAAAGTTGGTTGCAGCAGGCACTGAAGTTTCAGTGAGCACAGTAAGGCGCATACTAAATGCAGGAGGTTTCCATGCCAGAACTCCAAGACGTTCACCACTGCTGACCAAAAGCACAAGAAAAGTTGGTTCCAATATGCTCAAAATCATATAAATAGTAGTTTTGAAGCTCTGTTCTGTGAAGCGATGAAACAAAATTGGAACTTTTCGGCCCCATGGATCAGCCCTATGTCGAGGAAGAATGAAGCATTTGTTGAAAAGAACATTGCCTACAATGAAGCATGGTGGTGACTTGGTGATGCTCTAGGGCTACTTTGCATCCTCTGGCACTGAAAATTTGCAGTGTGTGGAAGGCAGGATAGATTCATTGAAGTTTCAGGAAATCCTAGGAGGAAACATCATGCTGTCTGTGAGAAAGTTGAAGCTTGGGCATCAGTGGACCTTCCAACAGGACAATGATCCCAAGCATACCTCAAATTCCACCAAGGCTTGGTTGCAGAAGAAGTCCTGGAAGGTTCTACAGTGGCCATTACAGTCACCTGACTTGAACCCCATTGTAAACATCTGGTGAGATTTGAGGAAAGCAGCTGCAGCACGCAAACCCAAGAATATTACTGAACTGGAGGCCAGTGCTCATGAGGAATGGGCTCAGACACCTCATGAGCGCTGCCGGAAGCTGCTGTCTGCTATGCATCTCGTTTGCAGCAGCAAAAGGCTGCTCTACTAAGTAATAAAGATGCTTGTCATGAAGGGGTTGAATAATAGTGAGACTGGATAAATCAGTGTAAAGTTGCAATTTAGCTTAATTTGGGGAAACCATTTGAAGCGTCCATTGTGTTGAGCTATTTCAATTGCTTTTTGATTTGCTCATTGCAAACAGCTGAAAGTCTAAATTTTGATAATAAACCAAATTTACAATGAGGTTGAATAATTTCAATTGCAACTGTATGCATATCAGGTCGTATACCTACACACACATTCAAAAAGATTTGTTAATTACTCCAGTGCTGTTTTTCTAGAAAAAGAGGTGCCAGAACTCACCGTGAACACCTCCCTAGTTCTCTTACAATGGCAATGGTGCCCACCTGAGAGGTGCTGGAACTGAGTTCCAGTGAGTTTTGGCTGGGGGAAAAACCCGGCCTATTACTAATAAAATCCTGCCTAATATGAAATAACGCAGCACTTCTCTCCTTAACAGATAAAACATTAGGGGTTTGCATGTTCTGCTTCTACATGCAATCTGCCATTCTTTAAAACCCTGACATTTTATCTCTCATTTTAAAAGTTTAGACTTGCATGGTTTTCTAGTATATAATTTATACTTCTCTTTGCTTGATTGTGCCACTAGATGGCCTTCTAGATCTGAACAAAAACACCCAAACTCATATACAGGTAGCTGTAGTCTATTTTGACAGGTAAATCAATACAAAAAGAAAGGTAGTACCTGGGCAAAGTAGCATGTTAATTGTCCAGAAAGAGCAAAGGGCCAGAATCCAAAGTACTATGTACTTTTCCAATGGGGCTTTAGACCTGTTTTTCTTGAAGAACTGCTCCACAAGCAGCATGCAAATCAGTTGATCAGGGGGTTCCAAAACTAGCTTATAGTATTTGTCAAAAATCTATTTGGCACACATAAGTATGCCGTTTGGATTCCAGTAACAGCAAAGAGATAGAAAGTAAAATGAGTAACACTTCTCTCTTTTTTGCCTCACCAATTGGAGTTTTTATAGAGAAATATTTAGTACAGGCATAAGTAATTTTTTTCCAGTACAATATCATGTATCATTCATTTCTTATAAACTAAAGAGGGTCGACTGCTATAGTGGTGGTGGGCTGCAATTTGCTGAGGACCCAAGATAAGTAAAGGGCCCATTTTCCTACCAGAACCACCATTCACTTTGCAGACAGCATGTAGAAATGACCGGGACCGGGAGACCCGAGTTCAAATCTCAATGCATCTGTGAAGCTCAGTACGTGATCTTCGCGAAGTCACTCTCAGTCTAAGCTTCCGCACCAGGTTATGAGGATAAAAGAGGTGGTAGGCTCTGTGTTACACTTTTAAGACCCTGGGAGAAAAAGTGTAAGGCAGAGCCTACCACCCCTTTGATCCTCATAACCCTGTATGGAAGCTTAGGCAGAGAGTGACTGGGTTTGAACTCAGGTCTCCCAGTCCTAGTTAAACACTTTGATCCGTATCACGTTACATGCAAAGTGTTGTGGTGCTAGTAGGGCAATGGGCCATTTACTCATGTTGGGTCCTCAGCAAATACAGCCCACCACCATTATAGCATCTGACCTTATTTTATTTATATATAAGGAAATTTGCAAACTTCAGCTGCACTTTTTATTCAATATTGGTAATATGGAGACCAAATTCATGATGTTCACTTACCCTTATTTCTGAGAAGCAATTTTTAAAGGACTGATATTTTAAAATACTCAGGAGGTTACAGTCATATGTACACTTAAGTGTGAACTCAGTGGCATCACTTCCAGAACAAACAGAGACATCAGCCTGCACAGATGCAACCTTCAGAAATATTTTTTGTACTTAGGTATGAAATAAAGAAATGCAAGATTTCTAATATCTGCCTTAAAATATTTGGTCATTGTTTTTTCAACCCCTAAAGCATGAAGCTATAATGTTGGATTTTTGAAACAACAAGTTCTTAGAATTGGAATTTAGAGCCCCCAAATCTATTTTTATAGATAGGCTTTTAGTTACAAAACCTAAAGTGCTCCAATTTTGAGTTCTGCATAGGGGCTAGAATCGTACAGGTACTATCTATGTAGTATGTAGTAGTTGGTTTCAGAGGAAAATACTTGTCTTCAAAACTGGCAAAATAAAAGTTTAAATGTTTTATTTGCTCTTCATAATAAATAAAACCCATCAGTATAATCCAGATCTCATTCAAAATAGAGGGGGAGGGACTTCCCTTAGTGTCAATCTAGAATAAATTTACAAATTATGATATTGCACATATAATCATGAGAACTAATAGAAACCTAGCCTTCAATAACAATATATTTATAACCCTCATCCCTCCTTTACTCTTACAGTACTCTCGAAACAGGACATTTTGGCACAAGTCGACTTACAGGCAGCGTAAGTACATAAGGCCTTCTGATTTGTAAAAAAACGAAACAAAAACTCCAAAGCCAAACTCTAGTTATTCAACTTGCATTGCTCCACTGTTGTGTTACATGTAACCAAAATATATTGGAGGTTTATTATTACTGTACATGTATGAAGGAGATAACTGTGGCACAGCCAGCAGGTCTATTCTAAATAATAGTTCACAAGAGACTAGTTTTTATGTGATTTTGTTCCATTCTGTTCTTCTAACTTTGCAGCTTTAGGACAGTCTTGAGTCCACTGCTGAAAGTCTAGTCCTTTTCACCATCTCCATAGGGTTAGTGGAAAGGCACCAAAGTTAATACCACTTGAGACTAACCATAGAGTCAACTTTAACAAAGTCTGTGAGGCAATTCAAGAGTAAAATATTTTTATTAGAAAAATGGGGGAAGAATACAAGAAGCTGTAGAAATCCCATTTGGTTATGTTGCTACAACTATTTTCATTCAGAGTCAGGATAGGCAGCACCCGGCTTACACAGAGGTTGTGTTCCAAGGCACCACACGTGTCAATGAAATCACACATAATTGAAACCAATTGAAAATGCCTGCAAACATCTGTCTTTATGACATTTCTGGATCACTTCTAGGTTCGGTGTGATGCATGGTAGGGCTGGGTGATATCTGGTCTTCAACACTGCAATATATCACCAGCTGAACATCACAATATATATCACAATGCCTGAAATAAGGATGGAGTTATGTAGAGGCACTGGCTGGCTTCACTGTTTTTTATGCATCATGATTTTTGCAGGTGCCTGCTCTTGTGATTCACTGCCCCCTTCATGAGGCAGGGGAGAGCTGAGCTGGCAAGAGTTAACAGGGGCTGCAGGAATCAAGAGAAGCATTGGCTAGCTTCAAAGTTTTTCCCACGTTGTGATTTTTGTATCACACACACACATCATGATTTGCAATATACTGCCAGGTCAAAAATCATGAAATGGATATCATATGGACTTCAAACCAGTTTTGGACAATGTATTGATATATTACTCAGTTGCACACATACACGGTTGCACACATACTGAATGCGTGTAAATGGGGGCTGCCTGTATCATGTCACACTGGCTTTCATTCCGTTAAAGTAACACCATTCAATCATTAACCCATATTAGGAAAATTCAAATATTGCACAAATCATACCAATAGTACAAGTAGTCTAATTTTTCTTCTTCCATACCAGCTTGTTCCTTCAGCTGAATTTCTCACATCTTTTCTATTGGATACACAGAGTTGGGTCACTATTAGAATCAGCTTCCAATGATTCCAATAGTAGAAGAAATGGTCCTAACAATTAAGATATTCAGTCAGGCCCTAAAATCATAGTATTAATACATACAGGTATTATAATATGCTACTTCCAATGATAACTAAACAACATGAGATACATTTGTTTCAGGGTAGTGCTAATAGAGCACACAGGAAATGAGCTGTGGCCTCTATCATAAAGCATGTAAGAGCAGGGCCCCAAGTTTCCTGTGTTACATTAAGCAATCTGGATCACACTACTTCCTCATTTATTGCTTACATGTCACAAGATGACATTCTTCCAAAGCAGGCATTCTAAAGCAAGTGTGTGTGATTTTACCACTCAGTATTTTCAGTCTTACACAGGTTTTTCCAACCTACAAATACACAGGTGTTTATGCAAAGAAGTTTCCTAACACTGATTTTAAAAGGGAAGGGAGGACTTGCTCACAAAGAAGCAAGTAATTATCCAAGGGTAGGGTGGTCCAAATGGTGACTGTATTCTCCACTTATTTCAGAAAGTGTAGCGCCAACTAAAAAGATGATTGAAAGCAGATAAAGAGTCAAAATCTAAATATTTACATAATTTTTGAGCGGAATGATGTAAAATTCTGCTCCTCCCACCCCCAAGTTTTTGTTCTCAAGCTACTGTGCTACAGTGATAAAAGCCATACTTGTAAGAGTTCCCTTGTAAGGCACTAGGCCCTCCTCACAGTGTAATCTCAGCCCTATTTGCAACTCATAAGAACAGGTGGTCTTCTGTACCAGAATAAGGTCTACCTCCTTCTCACAGTGGCTAACCAGATGCATGAAGGAAGCCTAGGAAGGCCTAGCATCATGATCACTGGCTTCCAATCAATCTTGTTTGCATTTACTGACATATTTAGTGTTGCTTACACTGTAACACTTTGCTTGGAGGTATGTATGGTGATTGTATAGGCAGTTGTGTATGGTCCCAGGAAGGAATAGAATATATTAAGGCTGCCCAGTGTAGTTGGTGCAACCTGGTCAGATGGGTGGGGTATTATTATTATTATTATTAGCTATCCCTCTTTAGGATCTGCTATGCACCTAGATGCATGCCAGCCATCCTAGTCTGGTGTTGGTGTTACCATATGCCAGGTCTGTACAGTATAAGCCAACAACTATCCATGATTTGATTGTGGATAAGTAGGCCAACCTGGAATCATTATTGAGTCTTAGGTAGACAAACAGGGATCCAGTATTCACATAGCTTTGTCCCTTCAAGTACTTGTTGCAGCACGTGTCCACTCCCCTCTCCCCACTGTGATGCTGGGTGAATGACACCCCCAAACCTACAGAATCGGAAGGATAGTTGAATACTCATGGGGATTTTCTGGTTGACATGGCACTCATATTAACACTGGTATTGCTTTGGTCAGATTCATCAATAAAATTGCTGAGTGTCCTTGCCAACTGCAGAGCCCATAGGGCTTCCTTGTATTCCAGTGAACTATGGGCAGTGAAGCAGGAAGATCAATAGCTGATAAGCAGATGTTTAGCATAAGAGTTTGGAGGGAACATCCAGTAAACTAATAGGACAGTAATGGGGGGGGGGGAGTTTTATCCCCTTTCCTGTGAATTGGCACAATTTCTAGCACTCAGTTTCTAGCCTGCTGGAATTTGGGCTGTATTATTTATGTGTGTGAAAAGCCTAGCCAAGATGGGTTGCCACCAGTCCATATGTGCCTTAAAGAGCTCCGGCGGCATCATATCCTCACCTGGCCCTTTATTTAATTTCAGGCTTCTATGAGTGATTTTATTTCTGCAGGGAATACTACTTGCCATTCCAGTAGTTTTGACCAATCAATGGTCACATCAGCAGTCGTTGGTTGCCCTGTCTGCTCTCCAACTAGTTCTGCGTAGTAGTCCATCCAATGTTGTGCCGATATGGTGGCATCTAGGTCAATAGCTGGTACACAAGTGATGTAAATAAATCCTTGTATGAATGTGATTGGGCGCATTATTTTGCTTACGATGTGGTTGTACAGAAGATTTACCTTAAGTCCAGCAGAGCTTTTCTGACTGGTGAATTGACTAGTATCTTCTGTCCAAAGGAGGTGGTGGTCTGCAGTGAAAAATGTACACCACATTTTGTGGATAAAATTGCTCAAATTAGCATGGAACTGGATGTGACAGTTAGAACTAGCCTTGAGGAAGTGTCCAGTCAGGTTACTTTGGATCAGTTTCAGTTCTTGCAGTCCAAGGATGTGAACAGCCATATTTCCTCTTGATTCTTGCCCACTATAGTTTATAAGGAAAGAGTCAAAGGGGTGTGGCTGGGTGGGTTCAGGGAGTGGTGAAAGCCTCATTGTGGGAAAGGGGGAGATACTGTTGGCCCTAAAGCAAGTGGTGGTTTATATAACACCTACCAAAATATCCAAAATCTATAAAACAAAATCTAAAATGTATTAGAGGTGTGATCAGTCAGAGGGGACGCTACTTGATATGTGGAGGACCTGTAACAAAATGAAGAGTTTCTGGGAAATGGTATATGAGGAGTTGAAAAAAACATTTAAACAAACTTTTGTTTTAAAAAAAACACCACCAACAGAAGCATTTCTATTGAGCATAGTAGATTTAGACATCGCAAATGAAAATAAGAGAGTATTTCTTTATGCAACATCTGCAGCAAGAATACTAATTGCTAAAAATTGGAAAAGTGAAATAGTACCAACAAAAAAGAGTGGCAAGAGAGAGTATTTGTTACCTTGAATTGGCAAAAATGACGGATGCAATTAGGGGACAGTCTAAACAAAAATTTCAAAAGTGGGGAAAGTACAGAGATTATTTTAAAAAAACAGTGCCCTCAAATTAAAACCTGGACTTGCTTTGAATATTTTTTACAAAACAAAATATAGTTTACAAATACAATATATGGAGAAGGGTAGAAAAGATGAAATGAGAAAGAAACAGTTTATCAAGTTTAAATCAGACCCACATTGAGGAGGAAGGAAGTCTATTAGAATAGAATAAGAACTAAAGATTGGATAACACAAGTCCATGTGCAGATTGTGGATTTATGGATATATGTTTATCATTTATGTGGTGTTTTCTTTTGTAGTTTGTTTTCTAAGTGTTGTGTGTATGTGCTATAATAATAAGTTAATAAAAAGCATTTGCAAGAAAAGAAAGTAGTGGTATATTCCCCACTCAAGAGGACTACCCTGAACCCAGAATTATTGAACAACTAGTGCCCGTAGCGACAATGGCCTTTTTGGGCAAGATGCTGAAGAGGCTGGTGGCAGCCCAACTGTAAATATGTTCAAAGGAAACAAATAATCTAGACATATTTCAATCCAGCTTCACAGCAGGATATGGCACTGAAATTGCCTTGGTCAGTGACCTATAAGTGAAAGGGACAGAGGGAGCACAAGCTTGTTAGTTCTCTTTAACCTCTCAGCAGCTTTTGATACTGTTGACCATGGTATCCTCCTGGAACAGCTTTGGGAATCGGGAGCGCTGTGCTGCAGTATTCTTCTCCCAAGAGAGCATAGCCACAAGAGACTATTCTTTAGTGCCTTGGACAGTTAAGCCTGTGAGGTCCCTCAGGGGTCAATTTTGTCGTTCAAGCTTGTTAACATTTAAATGAAGCTGTTGGAGGATGTCATCAGTGGATCTGGAGAAAGGTGTCATCTAATTCCCTTGGTTGAAGAGGAAAAGCCCTACATACCAAGGAAAAGCACTCAAACCCCTTTGACTTGAAGCTGTGAAAAATTCCAGCCACAGCATATTGATGACACCTAGCACTATATTTTCATACCATCAGAATTAGGAACTGTTCACATGCTTAACCACTGGGTGGAGCTGGTAATGGACTGCAGATAGAGATACCATGTGCTGCAGGTTCTCAACTCCAGGAAATATGGAAACAGCCTGTTCTGGATAGGTTGCACTCCCCTTGAAGGGACAGATGTGTAGCTTAGAAGTACTCCTTGATCCATTTATGGCACTTGAGGCCAAGGTGGCTAGGACTACCTACTTCCAGCTCTTGCCCTTCCTGTACAGAGATAGCCTGGCCACAGTGATCCATGCTTTGATGACTTCCAAGCTGAACTATTGCAATTCACTTGGGGTCAACAAACTTTTTCAGCAGGGGGCCGGTCCACTGTCCCTCAGACCTTGTGGGGGGCCAGACTATATTTTTTGGGGTAATCAATGAATTCCTATGCCCCACAAATAACCCAGGGATGCCTTTTAAATAAAAGGACACATTCTACTCATGTAAAAACACGAAGATTCCCAGACTGTCCGCAGGCCGGATTTAGAAGGTGATTGGGCCGGATCTGGCCCCTGAGCCTTAGTTTGCCTACCTATGCTACAGGGCTGCCCTTAAGGACTGTTCAGAAGCTGCAACTAGTGCAGAACACAGCAATGAGACTGCCAGTGGATGTTTCTGGTCAGACACACATCATACCAGCCAGTCTTCTGCAATGGTTGCCAATTGACTGTCGAGTCCAATTTAAGTTGTTGACATCGACACACAATGATTTGGGCCCCAATTATGTGATGGAAAGCCTTCTCCCATAAGGAGAAGACGATTTCTTACCTGCCCTTCACAATAAGATCCCAGGGTGGATTACAATAATAGAAATGAACAATGATAAAAACAACTAAACCATTACAATGATAAAGCCTAAAACCATTCCAAATAGAACAGAACTGTATAAATTGAACAGAAGAGGTGAGTCCCACAAAACTAAAAACTGTGCAACTACCACTGTGGAGAGTTCCACAATTTAGGGGCTACCACAGAGAAAGCCCTCTTCTGGAGGTGCTAGAACTACCAGGAGAGCCCACTCCGCAGATCTTAACACCAAAGAACATCATTAGGAATGGAGACAGTCTTTCAGATATTTGGGGCTCAAATATTTTAGAGCTTTAGACACCAACTGAGTACCTCAAATTGGGCCAAGATAGGAGTTTGCAAGTTCTGAAGTCTGGGTTGTGGGGAGACAGCCTGTTTTGGACGGAGTTGCACTCCCAAGAAGGAGCAGATTCCTATATTGGGGATGTTCCTTAACCCAACACTGACTCTAGAGGCTTAGTTAGCCTGAGAGGCTAGGGGTGCCTATTTCTGGCTATGACTGGTTTGCCAGCTGAAATTATTTGGACACTGTATTCCACTCTAGTAACCTCAAGATGGAACTACGGTACTTTAGTGATTTGGAAACTTCAACTGGTCCAAAATGCAATATGAAGAGAGCACTATCATGCAGTTATGGTTGCTGCATTTTGGATCATTTGAAATTTCCAAATCATATTCAAGTGCAGCCTTATGAAGAAAACATTACAATAGTCCTGTCCTTATGAGCTCCAGGTTTCTGTAACTATCTTGTATCCTGGGTCCTTTTCCCAATTCTCAGCCATCTCCCATATAAGAAAACCATCCCAGCTGAACTGACAGCTTTCCCTTTCCTCACAAGAAGCTCATTTGCAAATCACTTGGTCTTCTGAAAAACTGACCATTAAGCCATTGAGTATGGGCACAAAGCACTAAACAATATTTCGTGAGCTGAATACAGGCAATCAAAACCCACATGAATTTAGTGCAGCCTTACAGTCTCCTTGCATGTTATTACAAGGGCAAAAACAAAACCCAGCATTTTACACAATGGTAAAGGTAAAGGTACCCCTGCCCGTACGGGCCAGTCTTGCCAGACTCTGGGGTTGTGCGCCCATCTCACTCAAGAGGCCGGGGGCCAGCGCTGTCCGGAGACACAATGGTAGTCATTATTTAAAAGTAATTTAGAAAAGGCCCTTTTCACATATAGAACAAATACAAGGAATGCATCTCAGTCCTTCTCACTGGAAAATTAGCAGTGTGGTGATGGGTATGCTCACAGAAAAATACCCTAAGAGGAAAAATTGTGATCTCCTTTACCTTCAGAAATTTATGATCTCAAGAGCAAATAATTCTTGAAACTTTAATCTAGACCCATCTTGTAACATTTTAATGACTCAGAAAATGTAAAGATTTAAGAAAACAATGTCTCTTTTAAATCTTCAGATTAACAAATGTAGGAGTGAGAAGAGAGGACTCCCCAAACTATTGTTAACCCACAGCATTCAAGTATTATTTTAACACATTTCTATACCAACCATCAATTCAAAATTGCAATTAGTCAAGGTCCAGACTGAATTTGATAAGCTCAGTTTTTACCTGCAATCCAGGGACAGGAGAAGCACTAATGCTTTTTAACATTCTGTCAAATCAGCAAGTTTCCTCCTGAAGATTCCCGCCAGAAGCTGCAAGATATTCAAAGCAATTCAAGCATTCCATTCAGTTATGCATTGTTTCTTTAAAATATGCCAAGAAACAAACTATCGGGCTAAATATATGGAGCTAACCCCAAAAGTCCATTTTCATAAGCTGAGGATCATTTGCCACAGTGAGAATATACCAAGAGACTAAACAAATTATATAGCTTCTTCCACCTGAAGCTATGACAAAACAAAAGATTTTTAGCAGCTCGGTGGTTCCCATTTGAAGCAAATCTATAGGGAAGTCCAAACACAGCGGGTTGCAGCCAATGATAGTCCTACACATAGTAGACCTATTGAAATTAATGTACCTAAGTCATGTCTATTAACTTAAATGGGTCTACGTTTGAGCAAAACAGGATACAAGCCTGTAGCACAAGTCTGCGTAGCACAGTGGTTCATTGCAAGCTAGGAAATCCACAGTTCATATCTAAGCTCAGTCTTGAAGTCACCGTGGCTGTATACAACCCACTATCTCTCAACCTAGGCCCCAACATCTGCAATATGGGTATAATACTAGCCTACCTGTATAGGGCTGTAATAAGGATTACCGAGCATGTAAATTACCTGTAAGTGATACAAAATTTCAAAAGTACAGTAGATAATGTTCCGTATCCTTCAAAAGGGATGCAAATCCAGCTAGTAAAGGAAAAAGATTCTCCCGGCCAGAAACACAAGGAGGATATGCATGGTGACCTACATTATATTGACTGTAATGGTAATGGAGAAAGGAGGCAGGATGTGCACACAGGATTTGGCTTTGGGAAGGATGTCGAGAGCAAGCCTGATCTCTCTAGCAACCGCTTGTGCCTCCTTTGTACTCATTTGAAAGGCATTTAAGAAGCCAACCACTTCAATTGTAGAACACAATTGCAGCAGGAATCTCAGGGATACAGACGCCCACAATTGGCAGACTTAACCTTACTCCTGTTGCCACATCAGCTATTTAACAAGGTATATATAAGGACGTTTTTTCACTAAGTCACCTACTGAGAGGAAAATGTAAGTAGCCAGGGAGTTTAAGATGTCTTAGGAAGTACACACATTCACCAAGTCTGTATTCCAATACTTATTTGCAATTCAACAGAGTTGACGTATTTAGTTCGGAACACACGCAAAAAGCCATTTCCCATCACCACCTTAAAAGAACAAAGAACACATATGCAAGAGTGTTTACTCTGAAGTAATATCACAAATCAGTAGCATTTACTTCATAGGAGGGATACTTAGGATTGTTTCCCTAGTCTGCCAGCAAATGGCAAGGCACTTCACTCTTAGGCAATCTCTTTATGCTCTTTCCTCCCACAAAGACCAGAAGCATGACATTGTTCAGTGTTTAACAGGCAGTCCGCTCCTCCAATTTGTTCCTGAAAAACAGGTTTTACTGCTGGAGCAAATCTTGGTACATGGTGGTGGAATGGAATGTCTTCACTCTCCACAGAGACTGAAAAGACAACACCCGCCTCCTGCTGCTGAATATTTTACAATAAGCCAGCAAACAGGAGACTCATAATAAGCCAAATATTTTAACCACCAATTATGGGTTATTGCTATGGTGGGGAAGAGGAATGTCACAAATTGAGATTTCACCTTTATATATTTCCACTAAAAGTAAAAGACATCCACCCCTTAAATCAAGGCATCCAGATAATACATCTTTTAGAAAGAGCTGTAATTTTTTGGTTAGGTTTTTTAATAATGCTGCACTAAAGTTTCCCAGAAAGGAACTCAAGGCTTTGCCAGATTGTTTTCTTCAAATTTCGAGTAACAATGCAGCAAGGAAACTACTAGCAACCTAACGTCCTCAGTATCTCCTGTCTGGGCTGTCGGCTCATTTCTCCAAGGAGAGCCTCCAAAACTGGCTGTCTGAAAAAAGCAACACGCAACCCCACTCTGTTTGGAGGGGGTGATGGTGCTGCAGTATTAAGGAAAATCCTTTAAGCAAAGCAAAGCCATTTAAACGGAAATATGCCTGGCAAACCCTACCTACTGTAAACAAGCAGAGAGATGCCATCAGAAAGCCCACTCTCGTCTGACAACAGACCACGCATTCCCTTGTCAGCTCCTCCTCCTCGATCATCGTCGAGCTCACCCTTTCTAGGGTTCATGGGGGGGGGCGAGGAAAAGAAGAAAAGATTAGCAATGCCGGGAGACCTGTTTTGAGACACGTGGTAAGGAGTTAGAGACCTGTTCAAGAGATCAGTCCCAGGACGGCTTCTCCAGCCACTAAGCCAGCCAGCAACGCCATGCCTGAGAAAACAGTCTCACTGCACTGCAGAAAGCCGCTCTTTGCATTTACCAACTGATTTAGAGCCTTTATCGAGCTGCTTGGGTTATGCAGCAGCTGCCTGCCCACCAGTCTTCATTATTCGCATGCAAAAGAGGAGGGGAAAGCCCGTTTTCAGGTTTCTAGACACAAAGGACCAAGGCCGCCTTTGTCTTCTGCTAAACCACAGGAGCGCCCTGTGTCTTTAAGAGCCGGGCTGCTCGCCTGCCCCTGGCCTCCCCTCCCCCCCCCGCCGTCTTCCCCCTCCCTCCCTCCCCCCACCCCCGGGAGTGCCGAGCAGAGCAGCAGGCAGGAGCTGGAGCCGCGCCAGGATCTCCTCTTACACGCAGCCTCGCGCTCGCTCCTACGTTTCTTCTCGCTGCTGCAAAAGCACTTGCACGAAATGGCAACCGTCCTCTCTCTCTCTTCCCCACCCCCACCAGTATTAACAAGGGGGGGAAGCAGACAGAAGAAAACCGACCCTCTCACTCCTGCTTTACTTTTTTACAAACCTCACACACGTTTTTAAAGGGGGGGGCGGGAGAGAGGAGAGAGAAAGGGCTCTGTCCTGCATTGCCCGATAAAAACAGCCTTGACGAAATCAAGCGTTGGTGCTGCCCCAAAAGCAACAGCCGCAGCACAGAGAAGACAGCCGCCATTACGAAACCCGGCTTGCTCGCCCTCAATATGGAGCAGGAACTGCGAAGGCTGCCTTGAAAACGAGCCTCTTTTCACGGCACCAAAGCCAGAGGGTGACTTGGGTGCAAGAGGCAGTGGCTATTTCTGCAAATTAAATCTCTCTCAAAGCCAGCTGGAAGTTTTGTTGTAGCTGCAGCTCTGGAAAAATCTGCTGCTGTGAAATAGCAAGCGCGTCACAAGCTTTCCCAACGAAACCAGTACAAGGCTGCCAAGCGACTCTTCTTGTGCAGGGAAAAAGAAACCTCCATTTTGGATTTTGTTTTTCAAACCAGGAGCCTCTCAAGATAAAAGAAAACTCGTTTACAGTACATATTAGCAAACCAGGGTCTCCCTTTACTGCTCAAATTGCTGTTGTCCCCGAAACGCCTCTGTTGTAAAATGAAAAGGAAAAAAAAAGCCTGCAGTAACTAGAGGGAGAAAGACTTCAAACTAGTTCTCTATCACTTGCGTTTATTTGTTGGTTTGCCTTAAAAAAATATCCCACCTCTGCCTGCAGATTGACATTAGGGGAACAGTTTAGCATATATGTAATGCCATTATGGATTTGCAGAGAGAAGCTCTTGAAATCAACAAGGATGCAGCCAAGCAAAGCACTTTGTTACAGGAGGCTAAAGAAAGGAAGTAGCTTTTGGAAATAGATATAAAAAATAGATTCTGAATATGTACTTTCAAACAAGAACGTTAGCTACCTTTCCCCCCCTCCGAAAGTAACTCGGATATCCGCCTTGGACGAAAACATTTGCTGCATAGGCCTGCTCTGTTTCACTGCAAGGGCAAAAGGCTTTACTTACCCGCACACCATAGTTGAATGCAGTTCTGAAGGTGAAGTTGTGGGAGTCTGGGGTTGGGATTTTTTGGGGGGAGGGGGGATAAATAAATTTCTAAATACTGTATACGTTAAGTTCTGTATCATCACTTCTATTTTATAACCTTTCAAGTTATTCGATCTCGTTCAGATTTTTGTATGGCTTTTGATTAAAAATAAGTTAATACATTTACTTATTTCGACTAATAACATAGTTAACTTTTTAAAAAGACTCCGGACTTCAATCGGTAAATTCCTCTGACAGATTTACTCTGCACATAAGGACGCTGCATGTCTTTCCTTCCCCTCTCCCACTCACATTTTTAACATGATCTCAAACATAAATCGCTACATGTTAGTGTGAATACACCTGGTTAATAGTTACTGTATGTAAACATTTTAAGCATCTCTAGCTAAATATTTTTTATTCTTAAAAAGTATCTCAGAAGCAATTGGTTTAGATAAACAAGACAAAAAATGACATGCAGATGAAGGCTGGAAAAATAAATTAAAGGAGAACTCCAGTAACATTTAACATGAAAAACTACACTTAGCAAGAAGGACAGAATGGATTGGGTACTTACAATGTAAAAGGAAAAAAACTTTTCCTAATGATTTTTTTTGCAAGAATTCACGTTTCCTACATCTATATTTAAAACATTACCTTGTTAGCACGAAAGGATTTAACTTAAAAGATGGCCAGGTATTTAGTGTTTAATACAGGAAGCTACATCTAGAGATGTATTTGCTCAGGCAAAGAAAAGCTTTCAAAAACAAACACCAAAAATACATATGTATTTACTTTTTTGGTAACTCAAAATTGTTACTGCTGACATAAGGGCGTGCCATGACCTAGTTATATACAAGACAAAGATGGGTTCCAAATCAAAGGGAAAAATCCAGATCTTTTTATAAAATCTTCCTTCTTCCTTTTAGTCCTCTAAATGTTGTCAGACATTAACACAGACACTGAGAAGTCCTGAAATGGATGGTTGTGGATTCATTCAAATCAAGTATCCCCTTTTGGAACAAAGGAAAACCCAGTTGGCCATTTAATTCCATTGCAGAAAAATGGCTGCCTGATCTGTTGGCCTCTCCTTAGCTGTCTGCTGAAGGATGTTTTTAGATCAGCGTCTAATAACTCAAGCCCAATGGAAGCTGCGCGCTGATTGGCTGCGCCCGCCTGGTGCCTTTAACCAGCCAATTACCTAAGCACGGCCAAATTACAAACCAAAAGCACAAGTCGAGCTAAAACAACACGAAGCCCCAACAAGGCGACCCCGGGAGGAAAGGAAGGCGAAAGAGGGAGAAGGGAAGGGAAAGGAAGGGGGGGGGAGAGATCCAAGGGAGCCTCTAGCTGAAACAAAATGGAAGGTCCGACCTGATTGGCTGCGCAGGACCTTTAATAAGCAAAGCTGCTACTCTCCTTCCTCCCTCCTCCGAAATTGACAAATTGTAACAAAACGGGGGCGCCCCCCGCTTCTCCCCATTCATCGGAGGTGGAAACATTGCCGCGGCTTCTTGCAAAAGTATCCCTGCCAAGCTCGCTGCCCCGGTTAGCTCCCTGGGATGTAACTTGCAAAAGAAAAAAGGGAAAAAGAAAGAAAAAAGAAAGGGGGAGGGGAGGAGGAAAAAAAAAAAGCTTGAGCCTTTTGGAGCGCCGGGTGTCCTGTGGGGAGGGGGTTTCTTTTATTTCCCTCCCCATCCCCGTCCAAAAAAGAAAAGGGAAAAAAAGGCGGTGGGGGGGGCCCTTGTCCCACCTATGTCCATCTTGTTTAGGAACAGTTTGGCGCTTAGGTAAATGTAGCCAGCAGATTCCAAGGGGATTTGGCCCCGCCGCTAACTGGGAGGAAAAGCCACGGCGGGGCCGCATCCTGCTGGGAAAAATGCATGGCCCTTTATTTGGGGCGGGAGGCGCGGCCGGGCGGCCGGGCTGGGGGCTTTGCAGCGCGATGCAGCTGCTGTGAATGTGCATTCGGTTGAGGGCGGTTAGCCATTAGCCGAGCTCCATAGCGGTGAATTGTGGGATGCCTGAGAAGCAAGCAGAAAGCACACACACAATATGTGTTGGCTCGCAAAAAAAAAAAAAAAGAGCGAGCGAGCGAGGAGGCAGGAGGCTTTCAAAACCCATGTAATGTAGCCAGCCCAATGTGAGCAGAGGAGCTCGCCTTTCGCGGCCAGGAGACGGTCGGGCACCGAACAGCGATGTCTTTCAAAGAGATCAAGGCAGGAGAAAAAGCCAAGCACCCCGAAGACCATGGCAAAAAGCAGAGTTCAAGTGAGATGGGTATTTCTCTCTCTCTCTCTCTCTCTCTCTCTCTCCTCCTCCTCCTCCTCCTCCTCCTCCTCCTCCTCCTCCTTTCTCCCTCGCTCTCTTTCTGGTCTCGCTGCCTGCACCCGGGAGGGGGGACACGGGGGGACACCCCGGCTCGGCGTCTGGATGTGCGGTCTTTTCCCTTCCCTTCCCCCCACCCAGCTTGACGGTATTGCGAGGGGGGGAAGGAAGCAGTTCAGAAACGGGAATCTTTCATATATGTCTTTTTTTTTTTAACTTCGTTGGTTGCCCCCGCTTGCTTTCTCCTCAGGTTGGATCAACGGAATGGAGAGCAGCTCCCAAGCAAGCACCTCTGCCGAGAAAAAAAACCACCATTGGAAAAGTTACAAGTTGATTATTGACCCAGCTCTGAAAAAAGGACAGCACAAACTCTATCGTTACGATGGGCAGCATTTTAGCATTCCTGTAAGCGGTCGCTATTTTTTACAAATGAAATGTATTGTGATATTCTCTTCCCCCAACCCTGGTTTGTTTTATTCTAGTACCTCGCCGCCCTTCTGAAGGGTGGGTGGGAAGGAGGAATTCTTAATGACCTGAAAAAAATGAAGATTGCTACAAAATGTTCAGGAAACATATTAAAGTTACACCCCCTGACAATGTAGTCTGTCAGAATCAGAAGATAAAACCTGCATCTTCCTTTTCCTGTGATTCCCTGCAGAATTGCTATTTGACATGTGTGTGTCTGCCCTGCCTGGAGAACATTCTCCTCAGTTTTAAAGGCTGTGGAGTAAACTTCCAAATTTCATGGGGTTTTTGGTTTTTTGTTGCCTCCGTGGGTCGTGTCTTTTTTCAAGCTTCATTCAATTTACTCCCCTCTCCTCCTCAGAACCCGGGTCTTGCCCCAGTGGATTGTGTCAGAGATCCAAGGATAGGGCGAATATGGACCAAAACGAAAGAGCTGGAACTCTCTGTCCCTAAATTTAAGGTACATGCATTGAGAACTATGGTGTCCTTGATATAAATCTAATTGCATCTTTATTTATATTGTTGAATAATTAGTTCACCGGTGTTATAAAGTTGCAAAATACAATTGAGCTTTCTGCCTGTCAAAAGTGTGTTTTCTTAATAACTCAATGGAGTTATTTAAAACAAATTTTTAAAAGTTATTGCTGAGGCAAAAGTTTAGTATTTGTCTGTAAATTGCAGTGGAAGGGAAATACCTTGAAAGTTCAGTAGTTGCTTCTTAACCCTCTCTGCTCCAGGTGATGTGATTGCTTACAGTCCTTAACTTTGCTCTCTCTGGCTTTTAATTTCCTACTGCACTGTGTGCAAAAACAAACCTACAGATTGATGAGTTTTACGTGGGGCCGGTTCCTCCCAAACAAGTCACTTTTGCCAAGTTGAATGACAACATCCGTGAAAACTTCCTGGCTGACATGTGCAAAAAATACGGTGAAGTGGAAGAAGTGGAGATCCTCTACAACCCTAAAAACAAGAAGCACCTGGGAATTGCCAAAGTGATCTTTGCCACAGTCAAAGGAGCCCGGGATGCAGTGCAGCATCTACACAACACATCGGTCATGGGCAACATCATCCACGTGGAGCTGGATACGAAAGGTGGGGAGCTGGTTCTGAGCATCTTCTTCCTTCTGTTTGCTGCTCTTCCCCGCCTCTCTCCTGTCCCGTAGTGAGACGCATTTGCAGATTGGATGGGGAGGGCTAGTGATTAATTTAAGGGGGTGGTGGAAGCTATTAAATGACTGTCACTGCATTTCCCCCTCAATCTCTCTGCTTTTCTCTGGGCCTTTGCTAGTCACGTGGAGCTGAATGTGTTGTCTGTTGCTAGGAGACAGTCCTGTAATTTACAAAATGCTGCCATCCTCTCCATTTCACTCAGTCACTCATGCTGACACTTGGCTTGCCAAATGGTCCCCCTTTGCCCCTTTGCCAAAAGTACCTTTTGCACTTAGCTGATAACACACCCACCCACACCTATAGATATAGAAAAATGAGGCTAAAAATCATTTTAGAAAATGCCTGAAATGTATCCTAAAATAATACTCTAAATTAGATTCCAGCAATGTTCTTGCTTTTATTTAATCATCCCATTGCGGGCATTTACATATGTACAAGAGGCGCTGTAAAAGTGTATTTTTTTTCTTCCATTGTCTCTTAAAGGGACAGTAACACTCCAGATATTGAAAGTAACTGGTCTGTAGTGCTAATACCTTCAGACAGAAGCAGTGTAGCTATGAACTCAGCTTTTATTTATAAGTTCCTCAAACCATACTGAGGCTGCAGTCCTAACCCCAGTTACCTGGGAGTAAGCTCCACTGAATTCAGCACAACTGACTTCTAAGAAGGCATGGTTAAGTTTGCTTCAACATTTAAATTTTTTTGGTGTTTTTTTGCTGTATTTTTCTTTTTTGCTAAAGCAGTGAAGCATATATGACCAGCATGTGACTTTTAGCATATAAGTGCTAATTTGTCCCCCACCTCTGCCATAAGACACCTTTCAGTTTTGCAGCTTAATTATAAAAAAACCCTAAAACTATTTTAACCCTTTAAAGGAACATTTTGGAAAGTATGAATAATTAACATGTTATGCACAATGGGACAGTTTCTAGTCCCTTATCTTTAAAAGTGCTTATGCTAAAATTTTAAAACTGCAAGTGTTCTGAACTCCAAAACACATTTGACTACGTCTTGTATTTTTAGTTGGTGCACTGCTGAATCTCCAGCTGCAGTTAAATGTTCCTCTGCATGGTTTCTCATGTTGTGAAATGAGGATTCATCTATGCATGTTAGATAAAGTTATTAATAAAATGATAAGAGAAAATTGTTAGAACAGGTCAGTTATCATCCAGTCTTTTATCAACATTTATTCTGAGTTACTACCACATCAGGACATGAGAACCACAGCTTAACTATCTGTAAAGTGGTATAATCCTAAATTTTATTGGAAATATATTTGACTGAACTAAGTCAGGCTTACAGCCAAGTTGAGAATCAGGAAGATTTAACGTAACTGCTTTATAGTTTGAGCTGCAGCTGTGTTGATTTTTAAATGTATTTTTAACAAGTTTTCTGTAAGCTTCCAGTGCTAGCCTTTGAAATCCTTATGATCACATCCTTCTCAATTTCTGACATTTCCACTATTTGTGACTTAACTAGTTACCAGACTATCATTGTTTATATGTAATACTAGATATAAAAAAGCAGAGGTATAGATGAACAGCTGTTTGGCCCACTCTAGCCAACTCTTTTATAAAGTTCCTTTTTAAAAAAGAATACCTGATGTTAAAGGGAGTACATGGTATCTAAACGACTATTTTAACTGTGATTTGATGAACTCAGAAGACTAAATCCTAGAGAACATAAATTATGTTCACAGGCCTTAGAATAAAGCTCTGTAGCTTTAAGTGAGTCATGTGAGGTGAAATTTAGACCTTGGTCTAAGAGCTTTGCTGCTGCTGCTGTTGCTGCTTTTTGTGTGAGATAAGGACTCTCTTGTGTTGTACCTTAGTTTTTGTAACTGGGGTAGTAATTGCCAATTACAACTAAAACACAGGATCAAATAATTTAACTGTGTTAGGAGCTAGTGTAGGCGGAGGGACCAAGCAACAAACAAGGAAATCTCCACTTAAATTAATTCAATCATGCAGACACCTCCCCCACCCTCTCCCCAAGCCTCAGTCCTTGTAGCTGCAAGATGGGGAGAAGATTGCTGGCCAAAGGATAACTAAGATAATGTATGTGAAGCCCGTGGAGCACTTGCAATATAAATAAGTTTATTTACTGCATGTCTGTACCAACCAATAAACGAAGTTATCTGGGTGATTTGCAGTAAGGGCTAAAAGAATACAACAAAACAATACCTAAAATCTAAAACAGAGGTTACTAACAGGTTCTTACACTGCAAACCACTGCAGGGGGCTGCTTTACTACTAGCTTGTTCAGCACTTGCACCCTGGGGCACTGGATGCTCCTGTTTTATTACTGCAACAACGCACCAGTGGATGCATACAAACCGCCCTGTTAACTCACACCTGAGGCCCCCTAGTGCCGCTGTGTCCAGCCAGGTGCCTTTGAGGCTCCCAGGCAGTGCGTGGTGGCGGTAGCCTTCTTGCACTGTTGTTCCTGAATGGCTGGGATTCAGAGGTATGCTGATTCTGACCCTGGAGGTAAGACGTGGACAACCTTATCCTCCATCAATTTGTCTGATCCATTTTTAAAGCTGTCTTAAGTTAATGGACATCACCACACTATGTGGAAGTGAATTCCACAGTTCAGTTATGCATTTTGGGAAGAAGTACTTCTTATTGTCTGCCATGACTCTCCCAGCATTCAGCTTCATTTGATGATCCCATTGGGTTCTAGAAGTATGAGAGAGCGACAAAAACTTAACTCTCTTATAAACCTTTATCGTGTCCTACTTTACACAAGGGACGCGGGTGGCGCTGTGGGTAAAACCTCAGCACCTAGGACTTGCCGATCGTATGGTCGGCGGTTCGAATCCCCGCGGCGGGGTGCGCTCCCGTCGTTCGGTCCCAGCGCCTGCCAACCTAGCAGTTCAAAAGCACCCCCGGGTGCAAGTAGATAAATAGGGACCGCTTACCAGCGGGAAGGTAAACGGCGTTCCGTGTGCTGCACTGGCTCGCCAGATGCAGCTTGTCACGCTGGCCACGTGACCCGGAAGTGTCTGCGGACAGCGCTGGCTCCCGGCCTATAGAGTGAGATGAGCGCACAACCCTAGAGTCTGGCAAGACTGGCCCGTACGGGCAGGGGTACCTTTACCTTACTTACTTTACACACCTTTTTTCTAAACTAAGAAGCCTCAACTCTTGTAATCTTTCCTCATAGCGAAGGTGCTCTGTCCTCTTGATCATTATTGTAAGCCGCTTTGAAGTTTTATTACAGTCAAATGTTAGATAAGTATTGTGAAATAAATAAGTAATAAATAATTGTCGCTGCCCTTTCCTGCACCTTTCCCCAGCTCTACAAGTATTCTTTTTGAGAAGTGGCAAAGAGAACTGTCCACAGTACTCCCAAGTGTGGCTACACCATAAATTTGAATAAATGCACTTCAATATTGACAGTTTTATTTCTTGCTGACATGAATAGAACTGTGCTTAGTTATGGCGTGTGTACCCTCATCCCCAGCACGGCTCGGCTGCTTGAATGGCATTGTTCCGGTTGCACTGGGTTGAGTTATTGTCTGTATAACACCATAACTTTGGAGAAGGAACTGGTTCCTGCTCTGTTTTCTCTTTGCACAGCCGACCCTGGGATTGAGCTGCTAGTGTCTTGGACCCTAAAATTCTGGCAATAGTTTGCTGGCTGCACAACAAGGCTAGCTGTTTAGCTGTGCAGACTGACTTTATTCATGTTCTTTATGCAGAAGTAAGTCATGCTGATTTCAGCAGGGCTTGTTCCCAGGTTAGTGTGCATAGGATTGCAGACTTCATTTTAATAAATAAAGAAAGAGATATCTTTTGTCAACACTGCTACAAGGGAAGAGGACAACGTAAAATAAACAACTGAATTTATAGATGAACATCAAAACCATCAATAAGCTCATCAAAATACATACGTATTTACTTAGTTGGCACTGTCAGGGGAAGCAGGTGCCTTTTTTAAAAAAAGACAAATATTATAACATTTTTACTGATCACATACAATGTGCCTTTTACAGAAAAACTGATCTGATGTCCAATTTCTAGTGAGCTGGGCTTGCAGAGTTTGAAGATTTATCACATTTTACCATTGAATGCAGACACATTTTTGCTATAAAATGGTTTTATCCCTACAGCTGTTAAACTATTTCTCCTCCCTTGAGAACATATTGAGGAGAGGGAGGCCGGTTCTGTGAAGAAGCAGTCCTGAGTTGAAGACACATGCTCTCCTTGATATAATGCACCAACATGGCAATAAAAGAGGGGGCAACTTTGTCTTGTCTAACCTTTTTCCTTCACTGCTTTGTGTTCTGTTACCCCTCCCCGCTCTTGAAGCAGGCGATCTGTTATTGGATCATCTGCCTTTGGAATTAGGGAGCCAGAGTGGTGTAGTGATTAGAGACTTAAGGCTAGGACTGGGGAGACCCAGGTTCAAATTCACGCTCAGCCATAAAGTTCACTGGATCACCTTGGGCTATTCACTCTACCTGGAAGGGTTGTTGTGAGGATATAACGAGAAAAGGACATTGTTCCAAGTCTGGTCCAAGATAAAACTCAATCAATGAAGCACTCTTGTGCTTTTGTGTATCACAAAGAGGCATTTTTTGCTTCACTTGGCCTAACAAGCTGATAGTGAATATTTCAAGAGAGTCAGAACTGGCGCCTGTTCAGGCTTGGTTTGCAGAGAGACTTGGTAAAATGTGGATTCTAGATGGAATTGTGGTGTGTTCTTTTCAATAAAGTTGTTGCTGTTTGTCCAGGTGAAAAACGCATGCATTTCTATCAACTTCTTGTGAATGGACTCTACACTCCTCAGACTCTACCTGTGGAGAATGAGCCGGACGTATCGCCCACCGTGAATGAAACTGTGCAGGTACCTTTTCACTTACTTGTGATTAAATGGCACGCACTGTGTCTCTTGGGGAATTCTGAGATGATATTCATTTACAACAAATGGTAGTTTTCCTGCTGTTGTCCGTCTCCTCAAGAAATTCATTCTTGACATTCCTGTCCAGACATCTGTCATCTCCAGCCTTCCTTTTCAGGGGGCTCTTGAATGGAGGGCAAGTCCTTGTGAAGTTCCAGATACCGCTAGACCTTTTACTAGATCCATGGAACTGTTCCAAGCTGGAGTCTGATTCTGGACATGACAGTTGTGTGTAGGTGCTATGTATGGAGACCGGCAGTCTGGATTGTTTCCTGTTTGTCCTTATTAGGACTTCATGTTTTATTAAAATATTTTGAGTCAGATGAGTTTATGTAACAGGAAATGAAAAATAAGATATTAACAATGACCCAAGTAATAATAATTTTGATTATCAAATTTGTAAGCTTTACATTTAACCTTCATAGAACTGTAGAGTTGGAAGGGACCTCGAGGGTCATCTAGTCCAACCCCCTGCAATGCAGGAATCATGTCCATCCAACTTCTGCTTAAAATCCTCCAAGGAAGGAGAGTCCACAACCTTCCCCTGTGGGAAGGAAGCAGCGAGGGTGGGAGGCACGCAGAGACAATATCGAGGCCTGCTCCAGTTGGACTGTGTTTTAGTAGTTTAAAATTGTAAAGCACCTTAGGTGCATTGGCAGAAAGGTGCTATATAAAAATTAAGAAATAAATAATAAAACTAGAGATCCTGTTCTGGCTTCTTTCTGTTGTTGGGCATTTGAGCTCATGAGACTTGAAATAGGTGTGTAGGAACCAGCTGTAAAGGCTGCCTCCTTCCCAATGTCCTATTTTGCTCCCTTAAGATCAAGTTGTTTGTGTGGAGGAGGGGGGATTTCTCAATGATATTTAAGTAGTAGTTAATAATTGAAATTTTATGCTGTGGATTCAGTTTTTGGCACAAAATGCCAACAAAGACAGAATGCATGAAATGCTAAAACTTCTTGTTGAGTAATTTCTGCCATGTTCCAAAAAAAATCTCTACTAATGGAACAAACAGAATATGATTTTGTGACATGGGGAGTTCTAGGTGCAAAAGTGGCTGAGTTTGAATTTAATCCATGTGGCTGCTTGTCTGGCCTGCTTGCGTAGACTATTTTGCAGTACCGGAAAGCCCCATTCAGTGCAGTCAAGCAAGCAGATGCAGGTGTAAATTCAAGTAAGTTTTGTGGGATGTGCTCCCTCGTAAACGTTTGTAGCACTGTGCCCTTTATATGTGTTTAAACATTTTCTGTTGAGGCATATGACGAGTACCTTGAAATATCCATTCATTTCTAGTTACTTTTATTTAGGAACCTACTTCCTAGTTCAGTAAAGTGTATTTTGCCCAAAATTGTAAGTGCTTCTCTGCTGACATTTTCTGTCATTTGCTCAGTCTGTTTACTCTGAATACTTAAATTTCATAACCTTTATTTTCATCAGGCAAATGTAAAATAAAAGAAATCTGCTTGCTTTTGGTTTCTTCATTTTCATTATCACTTTTGTTTCCCTTAACATTTCTTTTGGATGTTTGAATAAGAAAGCTGTAATGATTGCACCATCATAGATCTCCAGCTTGTGGCACTGAGCTCCCTCTGTTGAGCAAGGTTCTGCCTTTCATTGAAATCCATCAAGTGAACTTAGGGAATGTTCACGTTTGTTTGTTTCTTGACATGGGAATGGCATTTCTTCTGCAGTCCTGAGTAATGTCACAAATTAAAGGCTGCATTCAGACAATCCTCTGATCAATATTCCTTTCCCCCTTTCTCTCGTGTAGGGATCATAATTCATTACTTTGTCCATTGTTCACCATTACATCCAAACCCACAAACTTGAGTGAGCCCTCCAAACTACAGGATTGTTAACAGTGCTTTAATACTGGTTGTTTTTGGTTTGGACATAATGACAAATCCTGGCATTATTAAATCAAGTGGTACCAAAATTAAGCCCTACCTGTGAGGGTACAGGAGAAGTGTGTTGGGCACAGTGCTCATTCCTGATCCTACAAATTATGACTTGGAAGGTTTTCTGAATGGGCTGCTAGGACACCCTTCTTGACCCTGGCACCACTGCCTGCGTGCATTCTTTGAGCCCTGTCTACGCAGCAGGAAGGGGAAGGCAGCTGGAGGCTGCGCTGTGAGCCTTGGCAGGTGCCCTGTGATGCCGATCAGCCGGCCATGTGCCAGCCTGTCGCTGTTTATATTGTGGGCAGCTGATCCTTCAGCCATGCCGCACTCCCTCACTTTGTGTTCTTCCCTTATCAGTCGCTAGTGTTCATTTCTCTTTACTCCCCCTCAGATTTATCTGCATCAGCCACCACACACTGGGTTTATTTACACAGGGATTGCAGGGAGTTCTCGCCATCCACCGCTTGCAACAACCACTTAAGCAGATGGTCTAATCATAGGCATTTGTTTCTTCATCTGAGAATAACAGTGGGCTAACAATGTCAAGTCCTTTCTGCTGAGTCCCACGGTTACTTGATGTCCTGATTGCTTTTTAGTGTTTGATCTTATTGGCTATGGATTTACTGTTGCCATGTTAGCTTCAAGATCAATTCCATGGCCATTCATGAAAGATGGGGATAGAATCATTTATTTTTTACAGATAGTGCCTGGTCGAATATGTATTAGGTTTACTGTCGTCATAGTTCTCGAACCTTTCATTTTATTTTTCTCTGAACTTCAGAACTTGGAAATGGTCTATTTACAATAATTGAAGAGGACTTCAGAGTAACTATTAATTGACAGTGATCAGTTGGTTGTGCATGTGGTTCTTAAAAAATCAATAGCTGGAAAAATTCCAGCTGCCCCGGTATGTTTTTGTTCAAAGATTCTGGGGTTGTTGTTTTTTGTTGTTGTTTTTTTATAACTCAGCCAAATTCTCTTATAGATGGTACATTTCATTAACCCCACCCCACCCCACACAAACATGCACTAGAGGTTAGAAAACAACAACTGGTAGATTAGATGAAAGGATGGTTTCAGGAACCTTTGTCCAGTGTAGGGCTAGTACTGATGCCTGCCACTCTTGATCATCTTGCAGCAGCAGTGTTTATATGTATGCTTGTCAAGTGGCTCCTTAAGTGTTCCTTGGATGTGTGCATACCTAGGCCCCCTGCTCTAGTCCTAATGTTTCCAATGGCACTTCAGAAATGTATGCATATTTTTCTGTTTTCCTTTTTTGCAGCTGGCTGAAACTCTGAAACAATTAAAAGACAACAGTGCTTCTTCTGTGGGATCATCAGCTACCCCAAACAGTGGTACCCCATTTTCCCATGATACCGCCTTTTCCAGTTGTCGGCAAGATACCCCAAACTCTTACAGCCAATTCACTCCTCAGTCTCAAGGAACCCCTCTTACCCCACGCCTGGGGACTCCATTTTCCCAAGATTCTGCGTACTCTAGTCGTCAGACAACACCTGCGTACCACTTTAGTCAGGACTCTGGGTATAAACCCAGAAGACATGAAACAAAATTTACAGATGCTTATAACAGACGCCCAGGCCACCATTATGTTCATAATTCAGCTGGTGTTTTCCGAGGGTCAGAACATCAGTTCAGTGCATTCAAATCCCACCCTCAAGAGGCTGTGCAATTTTCCCACACTCCTCCTTTGAGCCACACAGGTTCTTCGACTTTCAAGTCCGCTTTCTCCCCCTACCAGGCACCCACAACGTTTCCCCAGCCTGAAGAGCCGCAGTTTCCCCAAACTTCTAGGGATGCTGAGTACCGTCGGCCGCCACCAACACCAACGGAGATGGCAGTTGAAAGTAGCGCCACTGCCACTGTTGACTTTGTTCCTGTGAAGGACAAACCTGAGGAGCCCCCAGCCCCACCTGAGCCCAACAGTCTCAATGAACCACCTGTGGTACCCTTCACACAGACTCCGGAAAGGAGCGAGACCCCAGGCACCCCAACCACAGAATCTGAAATTCAGCACAACAGTTTGGACTCAAGAATTGAGATGCTCTTAAAAGAGCAGAGAACAAAGCTATATTTTCTCAATGAGCATGACTCGGACAATGAGATTAGAATGGAAGGTAGCCCCATCTCCTCCTCCTCCTCCCAGCTTTCTCCAATTGCAACATTTGGTTCCAACTCTCAGCCCAACTACAGAGCACAAACCCCTTCCTCGCGTCCTTCCAGCACAGGCTTGGAGGACATTAGTCCAACACCATTGCCGGATTCTGACGACGAGGAGCCAATTCTTGGAATAACTTCTCTCTCTCAGAATTCGAAAGGAATGCCTGATGCTAGCCTGACTCCCCTCGACCAGCTGAGTAGGACTTCCAAAACAGAGTCCTCTGAACCTAAAGAAATGTTGCCTGATAACGATAGTCCGACTCCAGAAAAAATGGAAGAGGTAAGTGGTTCAGATAAGCTTTACATATATGTAAGTGGTGTGAAGAGCTTTGCATTTGAGAATTGCATTGCTGATTTTAAACAGCTGCAAGCTCCAATTCTCAGCCCAAGAATTGTGTGTAGTATGTGTACAGGCTCTGACCCACTTGTGTACGATCGGCACGCGTGTGCCGTTTTCCACGCTGCGCAGGGGCTGGGCAGACTTCTGCATGTCCTGCATGCACGGTGCACAGTGGCCAGGAGTTGCCTGTATTCATCTGTGGTGAACATCCATGAGCTATAAAGTGTTTAACTTATAAAACAAGATGTGCTTAATTTGTAAGATGGGAGACTTAGCCCTGCATGGATGTGATTCCTTTGTATTGGAATTGGTTAGGAGTATTCCAGAGAAGATGTGGTGCATGATCTGAGGCCTTGTGTGAAAATTCCCTCTCCACATCAGCTGGGTTGACTGCTGGGACAAGAAGGGACCTGCTGCAGTCTCTTTTCCATGCTGCTGTTAAACCTCCCATGGGAAACAATTTTTAGCCAGGTTGTGCTATTGTCACTTGGAAGCCACCACCTTGTTTCAACAAGCATTTGGTCTGTCAAGTTGTAAATGTTTTTAGGCTCCCTGGAGTTGTAATATTGTCTGTTATCTGCTAACCTTGTGCGATATTAAAGTAGTTTCCTTCCAAGCTGTCATGCATAGGATTCAGTTGTGCATCTGCTTCAGAGCTGGATCTCATGAAATGCACTCTTCCTCACTGCAGTATCTTTTCAAACATGTTGCTGTTTGTGCCTTCTCCTTGAGTTGCTCAGTCATTCTACAGGGGATTATGACCTTTCCTGCTCCATAATTAAATATAAACAATTGGCCTTTTTAAAAATTCATTTTAAAATGTGTATAAAACCGAGAACAATTATAACAGATAAAAATTAAAAGATGACAAACAAAACTATAAAATAGGTACATAGAATGTGTATAGTTACACACGAGTTAAAAGAACACTGATAGTGTTTACCTGAACTTTGTTTAGTTCCAAATTTGCCAGTTTGTAATGAGGTTTGTCTTGAAAATGATGCTGTCTATGTAACACAAGAATGCAAAATCATATAAAAAGTGAAATAAAAATAGTTAGTGAGCTCTCCCTTTTTAAGTGATTGCAGATTCCAGCTTAATAGTTTGCTTTTTGTTGTTGTCATCTCCCCTCCCCTTTCTGGTGGGACTGAATCTGAAATAATGATGTACTACCCCTGTAGAAATGTGAGCTGTTGCTTTTCCAGCTTGCAAATGAGATGGAGAGGAGTGCCAGGCTTTAGCCTATGAAGAGGCTGGGAAAGCAGAGGCTCATGTTTCAGCCTATTGTGAGGCTGTTGTTCATAGCCAGGCTTTCAGAGAATTCCTCAGCAAGAGGGAAGCAGGGATAGAGGATGTCTCGGAAAGAGGGTAGGCACGTTCAGTCTCCACCTTTCCATCCAAAAGGAGATTTCTTTCTCCTGTTTTTTAAAAGGAGATTCCACAATCTTCATTGTCTTCTTCATAATTCACATAAAAGAGGAAATGTATGCTGCAGTTTTTCTGTGGATAGCATTTTCTGTAGCTGTGAGTGTGTTGGCTGAGACGTCTAGGATATGTTATTCTAAAATGAAGTAACAGCATTGGGGTGCAATTTTTATTGTCTTGTTGAAGTTATATCCCCACTCTTCATTGCATAGCAACCCCAGGGTGGGGTACTGTAATTCTCTTTCCTATGTATGACCCATCCCATGCCTTTTCAGAGCTTTGTTTCTGAATAGGAACATTGCCACAAGAAGCATCCTGCAGCTGGATTGGGCCAATAACCCTTCTAGTCCTGCATCCCAGTTCACAGTGGCCAGCCAGATAGGAACTCTTCTGCTCAACTGGCATTCACAGGCATATTCTGAATGGGGAGGGGCTGCAGCTCAATGGCCAGGCATTTGCTGTGCATTCAGAAGGTCCCAGGTTCAATCCCTGGTATCTGTAGATCGGACTGGGAATGTCCCTTGCCTGATGGTTTGGGCAATATTAAGCAAAATGGACCAGTTGTGTGATTTGGTGTAAGGCACCTTCCTGTGTGCTGCCTATAAGACCTCCCTGGAGCGGAGGGTGGGAAGATAAATCAAAGTCACCAGGTTTTCTTCTCAGTGCCTTCATTCTATTATTAATTTCGTTTACCCTTGCAACAAGAGGCTGAGGTTGCTCTGTCTGACAGGCAGAGAGGGTGTCATTCTTTGGGCCACTCAATGAGATTTGCTGCCAATAGGTGATCAGAATATATACTTACCGTATCTAGGGCCAGTGGCCTATTCCATACCAATCACACACACACACACACACACACACACACACACTTTTTCCATAAGCTATGTATTGTTTCCAGAGCCGGCCCACACCTGAGGCAAGGTGAGGTGACTGCCTCAGGCAGCAGAATCCACAGGGGCAGCATATCCCAATGCAGATGTTTATTTCCCCCCTTCTTCTTGATGTAGATTTTCAATCACCCCTTCTTCCCTGGTGGGGAGCGGGGTATGATCTTGTGGTTCGCTTCAGGTGTCAAAATGCCCTGGGTTGGCCCTGATTGTTACAGCAGTTAAGCAGACCATTGTGCTCTAAGTCAAGGGGCTTTCCCACAACTGACCACCTGGTTTATTTTTTTAAGAGTTGGATTCTAACCTGGCTCCCAAGAAGGCAAAGAGGCTCTACATTCAGCTCTGGAAGTAGACAACGTAGTGTACTTTCTTTATTATCCTTTCTTTGGATGCATCTCAAAATTCCTGTTATTGATCCCTGAAATAGCATCACTGGAGGCTCCAGTCCAGTACATACTTACCTGGCAGTAAGTTCAATCAAACTCATTGAGACTTGCCTCTGAATAAATATGCACTGGATCAGGCCACAAGTGTCTTTTGGTCAAATGGATGCTGTGGTAACCAAGGTTAAGAGAGGGAGCATCTGTGTTTAAGGACGCACAGAGATTCAGTATGTAGGAAAATAATAATAATAAAGTTTTATTTATATCCCGCCCTCCCCAGCCGAAGCTGGGCTCAGAGCGGCTAACAACAGTAAAAGAATACAACATTCTAAAACCATTTCATTATAACATCAGTTCAAATCAAATTGATGGCAACCATTGGGCTAGAGTTCTGTGAGGATTGCCAAAGGAGGGGGTCACAACAACCAAAGGAACCAACGACAAAGGAAGGAAAAGTGGGAATACATGAAAGTGGGAGCATGTTTTATTCTGTGTTAGTAAATCCATTCACAATGGCAAATGTGTTAAAATTGAGTTCTATCTCTATTGAGATAGAACTAAGCTGTGTTAAGCCATCTTGAATATGCACATTAGGAGAAATAACCATTCTGAAAGGAATGATTAACTAAATAACCCTAAAATGCTAGGCTGGACAATAAATGATCTATTCTGCACTATTACAGCTTACTGATTCTGTTTAAAATGGTGACCATTACATAGGAGGTTATTCTAGGCTCCCTTATGGCAGGGGCTCAATATCCTCAGGTTTCCCCATGTGCTGCTCCAACACAGTTTGGTTTGCCCAAAGAATTGCCCAGTTCTTGTTGCCTCCAGGCAGGAAGCTGGCTAAAGTATGTGGCGTGATCTGTTGAACAGATCATAAAAGTGGGTATGACCCTTTAAAAAAAGCCAGGATTCCATCAGAGGTGACTCCTTCCTTGTTTATCTGTTTTTACATGGTAGTGCTTGGTACTAGTTGCTCCGTGAACTGCATGAGATCTGTACTTCAGAAACTCTCCTGGAATATTACCTTGCTTTGAATTTTGGCAGTGATGATTATTTTTGCAAGGAATTAGGAAATTAATATGATAGGATATGGGTGGCCAGCCCTTATGCTGGACTGGTGTGGTCCTGTCTCCCTGGTTCAGTTGACCAGAGACAAATGCCCCAAAGTGTGGGAGCCCTTTTGGTCTAAACCAAGTGGCAGGCAGCATGGTGAGAGTTCAGTACACCACCTCCTGGATCAGTCAATGTCAAAGCCATTTGAGCTCCTGTTGGTTTCTTTAGCTGTGAACTGTTAGAGTTTTCCCACCCATGGATGCTACTTGCTAGCTCCATAGCCCCGCCTCTTGTCTGCAGGAGCCAATGTACTTTTTATTGGAGTTGCTTATAATGGATTTAATTATTATTTGAATGTTTCAGATAGCTGTTTTTAACTGTGCTGTTTTTATTGTTTTATTCTTTTTTAAAACAATGATTTTTTTTAACAATCAAGGAATATATAATTGTATGAAATAAATAGTTTTAGAAAAACAGAGTTCAGATAAATAAAAATAATGCAAAATGATTGGTATTATAACGATTGATATAAAGAATAGCAGACCTTTGTTGTGTGCAGTAATGCCCTCTATTTATATTCAGACCGTGGGTGCCGTTACTTATGTAGCCAAAATAGCACTAGTGACACACAAGAATGATGAATTGGCAAATTTGGGGGATCACAAGGTGTGCAGAAATACAACAGATTTTTTTGCAGGGGATGGACCCTAAAAGTTAGGGCTGAGCCTGCTCGGTGGCCTCAGAACAGTTTGTTGTGGCAAGAAAACAGGGAGAATGGAATGGCATATCATGTTGGAGGGCATGGCTGGCTTAGTGGAGCAGGAATATATGGGACTGCAACATTTTGTTGTAAGGTCCACTTTTTTCTATCAGCATCGTAACTGTTGTACACATTCAGTATAAGTGCCCTCCTGCCTTACTGGTTAAATACAATTCCTGGTTCTGTAGCAGTTAACAAATCAGGTTGAATTCCATATCACCATTTTTATTCCCTCTCTTCCTTTCAAACATTATACTAATTCACTTTGCAGGTTCGTATGCATTCTTTCATCCACTTATATCTCTCACTTTGCTTAAAATTATTATTGCCATATATTTGTGTGGATGGACGTTGCCACGGTCTATGGGAAAAGTCTTCCACATTGTGTGAACTTGCTTCACACATTTTGATGTACTTGGAAGTGCT